AAGCCATCGCCGCTACGTACAGGTGTATAGGGTCGCACCGGATAGCGCCCTCCTCGTTAACCATTCATTCATGCAAATTCGGATTTGCCAACGTAATTTGCCTCGCGGCCCGTCCGCTCGCGCAACCTAATAGCTATATCTTTTTAATTAATCAAGCTGGCGACTCTACCTGCGCGCCCATAATAATCATTCTCCAATTGTGCCGCCAACTAAATGCTCGCGGATTATCAGTGTTGCTGGTATGATCCTCGGCGGGAGGGGCGGGACGGGCGGGACGGGCGCGGGGGAGGAGAGGCTTAACGCCTTACCAAGCAAATGCCCGGCGTTCGCTCGCGGGGCGGCTCTGAAAAATGGAATAAATCAATTGCGCTCGTTGTCTTTGTTGTGCATCGCTCGCGAGGCGGCGCGAGGCGGCGCGAGGCGGCGCAAGATGCGACAGAGGCAGCCGAGCTTTGCATGTCATCAGCATGCGCGAGCTTCCCGGCCGAGGCTCAAGCCCGCGGCCGCGAGCGCCGGGAAAAAGCTGCGTGTATATACGCCGAGAGAGGGATCCGACAGACGAGCCGGGAAAACCAGAGCCAATCTTTATTAATGGCAAAGCCGTCAATACGCATTTTCGCCGAGCGCGAGCTCCCCTCCTACGCCCCCGACGACGCTCTCGCGCGCGGCCACGCTGCGCATATTTTAAATAGTCAGACTAAATGCTCGTCTCTGGCTCTCGTTTTTTTCGTGCGTCCCTCGGGGAAGAGGTAAAAAAAAACCATTCGCTGATGTATAAAACCGGCCAGCCTCGGCGTTACACATACAAATTTTTGTTGTCAGTGATTTCGCCAAGCGAGGACACGGCTCGGCGAAGGGAGAACGACGCAGCGGAAGAGGCAATAAAACTGATATCCGCGCCGGAGAGCAAAAAAACGAGGCAGTTGCGCGAAAGTTATCTCGATTCTCTTATTTGCGTTTGACAGAGCGGAAAAAATGCAAATGCTCCGCGGGCTCACTCGGTCGGTCGGCGGGTAATGCGGAGGGCGTCGGCGGCAGACGGACGGGCGGCCAATTAATTCCGAGCTGCAAGTATTTCGGGGAAGAAGGCCGCGCGAGCGGAGACGCACAGCCCAAACAACGCGGCCAGTTTGCGTGGCCGCGACGTCGCGCCCGGGGCTTGAAAAAACACCGGGCGGAGACGCGCGAGCGAGCGAGCGAGTCGAGTGCAGGTGAAGCGCGTCGAAATCGGCAGATCGATACGGCGTTCGCGCGCGGGAAAGGACCGAGAGCGCGCCCCTCGAGGTGGCTCCTCGTGGAAGCTAGACGCGGGCGCGAGCTCGGCGGGGCACGCGCGCGTCATAAGAGTTCGAGTGATAAACAGCGGCTCGCTTTTTTCGGCGACGTGCGATACATACTAATCGGCCGAGGTGGGCGCTGTAGTCCGCGGCGTCTCGAGGTCGCGCGCGCGAGCCAAGGAAAGGCGAAGGCTGAATTGCGACGGCCACGTGCCTCACGGGATTTCCCGGCGCGCGGGATGAATTCCCGCTGGCCGCCTCTGGCGTCCGGCGCGGAAGTATAGGCACCGCCGCCACTGTCTCGTCCGGCCGTTTTGCGAGCTGCGAAGCCGCCGGGAGCAGTCACGCCGGCGGGTCGGAGATCCGGGCGCGAGCTAATCCGGCGCGACGGCTCCTTCGCGTCGCGCCCTCGGAGGGTCGAGGGAGGGCCAATTCGTCGGCGCTTGGCAAGTCAAACATTATTAAAGCGCAGCGCTCGGTCGACAAAGGGGACGGAGGTTCGTCGAGCGATCGTCTTTCTCGCGCGCGCAGCGGCAGGCCGGGCCGGCCCGGAGAATGGGAGGCAGAGGAAGACACGGGGCGCGGAATGGGGCGCGATGCTGAATCGAATAGCCTACTGTGTCGCTCGAATAATCGGCCCCCGCTACCCACGTGGACACACAAAGACGAGGAAGCGGCACTTAGTGGAACGCTCGCCTTTAAAGCGCCACGGAGAGAGGGAGCGGGAGAGCGAGCAAAAAAGCGTATTCCTGCGGTATTGAATTACGCGTTTTTTCTTTCTCTCTGCGCCGCCGCCGTCGCCGTCGTCGCGCTCGTTGAAAGTCAGCTCCGGGTTTCCAGAGCGAAACACTGCGAAGGAGGCGCGCGCTTGACACTCGCTGAAAATAAACATGCGGCTGGGACGAGGCGATCACCGCTCGAGAAAGTGGGGCCGGAAACGGGCGGAGCGCGCGCGACGCCGAGGGCCAGAGCGATCCGCGATTGCTTTTCCAGAGCCGGGGAGCCGCTTGCCGCAGGTATGCTCGGTCGACAATGCGTTTTCCCGACCTGCTGCCTTTGATCCTCCTCCTTCCGCCGTCCGCGCCCAGTTGTAGCTATACGCGTATATGTACGCGTGCTCGCGTCGCATCGATTCGCAGTTACGCTTTTTCTCTCTTTATTCTCAGTTGGCCTCGTCGGCGGCTTCTTTACGACTGCTCCTCCCTTTTGCTCGTCGCTGTGCCCGATTACATCCCGCGGCTCTTATTCCGACGGCTCCGACGACAGTCTCGCCAGGCTCGTTTGCAAATTTGCCAGGGGCTCGCGCTTCCGACGAGCGAAGCAGGCAGGCCGGCGCTCGCGATTGCCCGCGGACGGCCGCGACGACGGGGCTTTTGTCGCGCGCGCGCCGAGCCGACATCGCGTCTTGCAAATAGAGAGGAATGGCTGAAGCGCGCCGCGCCGAATTCGCCCGGTTATTTACGAGGGCGTGACAAATGTCGGGCGTATAAATCGCCCGGCGATAGCCTCGCCGACGCCCTTTCCATTTTTCTCTTTTTTTCCTTCGGCCACCACCGCAGCAGTCGCCGCCGAGCAGTCGCGCGTTCATTAGCGCTCGCGCGACCGCGGCGCGTTCGCCTTAATTACTCGTCGCCGGGATTTTCGGGCGGTCAATGGAGTCGCGGCGCGCGCGCGCGCGCGCGAGCGAACAATGGCGCGAAAAGCAATTAGGCGCGCCTTTGAGCGCGTAGCTGCGGCCGGTAACCCGATAAACAATAACTCGCTAATCCGATCTGGCGGGGCCGTGCGCGCGCGAACAAAGGGAATTGTCGCGCGCTCGCGCCGCAAGTGTCTTGCCGGCGCGACGCGAGCGCGCGAGTCCCGAGCGCCTCGTACCCGAGGCGGCGGAGCCGCGATCCGGAGACCGCCGCGAGCCCGCGGCCAGCTCGGGTGAACGGCCGTGAGCGCGGGGAAAACGGGCTTCGCCCGCGCGCGCCGTTTTCCGGACGCGACTCGGATAAACAAGTCAATGCTCGCCGCGCGCTGCCGCGCGCGGAACAAAAGCTGCGCGAGTTAACATTAATGCCGCGACTGCTGCCCGCGAGGCCGCTCACCGGAGCGGATTGAACAAAGCCTGATATAGTACGGCCGAGCGCGGGCGCGCAACGGCATCTGCAGATACGCTGTCACCGAAAAGCGTAAAAAACGGCTTGAATTCCGCATTGTTCGCGCTCGTGCTAAGAGCGCGCGCTGATACAGCGACCGAGCGAGCGGACCCTGCTGCTTCTCAAAACAAAAACAATAAAACAACAAAACACAGAAAAAAAAAGAAGAAAAAAACAATAAGCTCTTAATTGAAACGCCCGACGCAGCGGATTTGGGTGCCCCGGCCGGACACAAGCGCTCGCTCGATGAATAGCCGATGCAAAGATAGCGCTCAAGTTCGCCGGCGGAGCCAATGTAGAGCCGGCAAAATTGTCGAGCTCTCCGCATCATCCAATCCGTGCAATTCCAGCATCACAGCGCGACGACAGCGGCAACGGTTCGTTTTAATGACGAGGCGAGAGCGCCCGAGAGAGACGGCCGCCGAGGGGAAGGGAGGGGGGCAAGAGTAATTGCGTACATGCTACGAGTGCGCGCGTCTCTGGCGCGAGCCGATCACTGGCCTTTTAATATCCCGCGTAATTTCCGCAGCGGCCGCGGCGCGCGTACGTATCCCGCGCGCCCCGAGCAGACAAAGAGGAATCGCGAGAGACAGATAGGTCGGGATAATGAAAAGGCGAGCCTTCCAACTTTTCACGCGCGACGGCCGTCGCGCGGTTAACTCGATTGCTAATTCACAATGGACTATCGCGCCGAAATAGAGCTAGACGCGCGCGACGCCGCGCCGCGCTCGCAATTTCATTTGCCGCCGTCGGCCCGTCTGACGACCGACTGCAGTCGCGCTGCAATTAATCGCGAGCGCGCGCGCGCTCGCGATCGATGACCGGGCGACTCCGGCGGCAGCCCCGTCGCACCAGTCTAAAAACAAAAGTGTCACGGCCCGATGACGAGGGAGAGGCGGGCGCGCGCGCGGTCGGCCCCAAACTTACCTCCGCGCTCGGGCCGAGGCTCGCGCCCGCGCTTGATGATGATTGATGCGCGATTTACTCATTCCGATAATTGCCCTTCTGCTAACTCGATCTCGCCCGACAGACCCTCGTGCGTGCGATTTTCGCTGTCTTCCCTTGACGGCCAGCCGGCAGATTGCATTCATTAAAGTGCCAGCCAATGAAAAACCTCGAGAGCGGCTCTTTCAGCTCAGTGCCAATTCCGGGCCGATTTAACAAGCCAGCTCACTCGTTAATTAAATCGAGCGGGCCGCTCTCTCGCCTAGCTCCCATCGCGCCAGCTCTCTCGAGGACGGCTCGACTCGTCCGATCTCGCGCTCGACAATCAAGCGTCGATTGCGCGCCGACTCGAGCGCGATTTTATCGCACTCGTTCTCCTTGACGTTGCAGAGGTCAGCCCGTCGGAATTCAAAACAAATCGTGCGCGACCCGCTTGACGCAGCAGTACGCGCGCGCAGAGAGACTCGGCGCAGAAGAATGCGAGCGCGACCAACGCAGGCTGGTCGTGCGCTCGCCGCGCAGCGACGGCCGGCCGAGGTGGACGCGCGGACCTCGGCCGAGCATCGCCGGCGTGCCGCCGTTGCGCAACGCCGACGATCGAGCGCTCGACCGACTACAAGTGTGGGTTACTCACCTGCGGATGAGCGGCGGCGACTCGGCGGCGGCGGCGGCGGGGGGGCTGCCAGCTGCGGCGGCCGTCGACTGCATCACTGGCGACCGGCGCGCCCGATCGAGCACTCATCGCGCGGCCTTGCCGGCGAGCGACGGCCAGGGGGACGAGGAGCGGCGGCGCGGCCCGAGAGGCGCGGACTGGCCAGACAAAGCGCGCGCGCGCGCGCTGGCGGCGACGGTGACGCGGCGCTGCGGGCTTGCGGAGTCGCGGCTTATCGTGGGCAGCGGCGCCGCGGCTGGCTCATCGCCCTCTCGCGCTTCGACTAGCTGACGGACGACGCCGATGAACGGGCTGCTGCGCGGAGGAGACTGGCTCTGCGGGCCTGCTGCGAGCTTGCGCTGCCCTCGAAGCCAGCGGGAGAACTGAGGCCGCGAGCGCTGTCGCGATCGAGCTGCCGTGCTGCTGCTGCTGCTGCTGCTGCTGCTGCTGCTGCTGCTGCCGCCGCCGCCGCCGCCGCCGCCGCCACCGCCGCTGCTATCACTCGGCTCGCGGCGCGCGCGCTCGTCGAATCTCGGCTGCCGCGCGGCCCACTCGGCGCTCCTCGGCGTTGCTCGGCTGCTCTCTCGCTCCCATCCCGACTGTCCTCCGCGTATACCTATACTCGCTCCCACAGCGATCCTTGCACCTTGCCACCCTCTCCCCTCCCCCTCCCCCCGCTTCGCTCTATGTATTTTACGAGCGCGCGCGCATGTGACCCTTTCGCCTTCTTCTTCTCTTCTCTTTGCCGCGAGGGCTTTGAGTTTTGATACAGAAGCCCGGCAGCAGTCTATGCGCGCCGTATCAAACTGCCCGTTAACATTCGCATCCGGATTCACTTGGATTAGCGACACTTCTATTTCGCTTTGATCGTTGTTACAGAGGACAACGGAACGCTGAAGCGGCGTCATTCGCAGCTGCATTTTACCGCTTCCTCCCTGGCATCCTGCAAAACTTTCCGATAATTGATCTTCGGAAGCGAGTAAACGAATGCTTAACGAGGTGTGTCGTATAGCTGCTGCGAAAGCGATACTCGCGACTCAAGCTGTACGTACGTAAAGCTTGGACGGGGCTTCCGCGCGCAAATTTATCGCGGCCTTCGATAAAAGAGAGAGAGAGAGAGCCGTTAATAGAGCTGTGCGTATAAATTCTGACTGGGAATTAGGGCATCGCGAGTCGCGAGATTGAACGCAACAACGTTGGCGGATAACGAGCGGCAAGGTGCGCGGGACAAGAGGCGAAGGAACGCTCATGGCGAATGCGACAGTGGAGTTGTATGCGCGCCCCGCAGCTAGAGTCGCGGAAAAGATGAAGCGTAAAGGGGGCGGAAGGTCTCACTGGGCGCGTACTGCAGCTGGCAACGGCATCTCAGGAGCGCGCGCGAGGTGCACGAGCGCGGACGTATACCTACATATGCGCGTCCGTATGCGTGTGTACGTATACACGAGAACTCGGAGCCGAGAAGAGAGGCTCGCGCGTTAGGCCAGCTCCCTTCTACTTGCCTTTTATTTCCCTTTTGGCTTTCCGGTTTCGTTCGCTGCGTTCTCGCCAAACAGCTAACTTTATCTCTTTATCTCGACCAACTGTTTTCATGCCCAACCAGCACAGCAATTGGTAATGCACTCGTTGGCAAACTCCGATTTTTCGTACCTTTCGCCCAAGTCGAATCTGCGAAATCACTCGATCGCACCAATCTCTCCATTTCCCGCAAGCTCCGCGTAGGAACCCATCGTTATTTGCTCATCTGTGACATGACTCGCGGGGCGTCAGGACTTTGCTCCTGGACTGTTTTTGTGCACAATCTCTAATTATAACTACTTGCTTCAGTGCTGTCAAACGTGCATCATCTGTGACATGTGCGAATCAATAGCGTTGACTTTGAAAGTTTTTTCAGTACTCGATACGTGTGTAACTATACTTCCTCTACAAAATTTGAGTATGGTTACGTCGAATACGATCCCAGGTAATTGAGAGGATGCTTCGATAGGACTAAACTAAACTCAAGATATAGCGAGCGTCCAAAGCTTGCCATCAATTCTCGTGCTTAACCTCCAAATTTTCAAATATTCGCCATCGTAATTATTTATTTTTTGTCTCTTACGTTTCTTAATGTTACTTTTGCGACCGGATGTGATTTTGAAATTTTTTAATTTTTGAATGCTTTTATAAACAATAATAAGTGCACCTTCCCTTTATCAAATCACATGTTATTTTCAATCGCTAATATCTCGTTTTCCAAGTTCTGAAAGTACATGAAATTTGAACCACAGTTTCCGAGCACATTAATGCACTTACCTTCAAAGTTTCAAACGATTCTCATGTGTATTTCTCTTACCACCAATCCACCATACTCCCTAAATACGCGCCGTCTTTACGTTGAGAACCTTGAATAGTACACGTTATGTGTATCTATATGTTGTTACATAAAGAGAGACAGAAAGAGGAAGAGAGAAAGAGATCAACCGAGAAAGAAAGAGAGAGCAAGAGAGAAACCGAGAAAGAAGAGAGAGAAAGAGAAAAACAGAGAAACTGAGGAAGAGAGAATGAGAGAGTGCTCAGCTCAGCAGTGCAGGTAAACAATGGAGACTGTATAAAGGAGACGAAGCAGCCATATCCTCTTCGTGTTAATTTTTGGTAACCTGCGTATTTCGCCAGGAGCCTTTTAGCTGTAGCGCCTCTCGTGGTGGTCACCGGCGAACCCATAAGTTACCGACGGCTTCCCTAGCAGTGAGTTACTATATATATCATGCGGAGACTGCTGCAAGTGAGTTATCATGTACAAATCATTCATCGAAACAATATAGTTATATATCGAGACAAGTAGATGATTCACAAGTATATAAATTAATTATTAATTAGTATTATTATTATATTTATATATATTATTATTAATTAGTATAAATTAATTATTAACAAGTATATATACTTTCGCGCTTATTAAATGAATGAACTTAAAACCTGATCTAACTTCTCAGGATGCCAGTCAATATATGGATGATTCTTGATGGCTATAATTTGATGTAGAGACACAGTCACAATAAATTTTTCCAGATTTTGCATAATTGTTGTTCAAATTTTTTATTCAATTCAAAGTTTTTATCTCAAAATATTAAATATATCAAAAGTTATTAACTATTCAGGAAAAGTGATAAATTAATGGATCCTGGAGGTTTTTTTCTGTGGAAATCAGTCATAAAATTCAAGAGTGCACGATATATCGAAAGGCGTGGCACTAGTTGAAAGAAAACGCCTCGGCGCGCATATGCCCATCTAAATTGCTAAGAATCATCCATATATTAATTGATATCCTGAGAGGTTGGATTGGGTTTAAGTTCCTTGGTTCATTCATTTAATAAGCGCCAAAGTATATGTTCGAATTTTTATAATTGTTACTTGTATCTCAATAACTATATATTCGATGAATGATTTGTACACGCAATAATTCGCTTACTCCGCATGTTGGTAACTCGCTGTTGGGCAAGTCGTCGGTAACTTATGGGTTCGCCGGTGACCACCACGAGAGGCGCCACAGCTACAAGGCTTCTGGTCTTGATTTAGCTTTTTGATCGGTTACCACTTATCAGCTTATACATACATTGTGCTCCGAGTTCCGACTCCTGTATACAGTCTCCATGAGGTAAACCGAACCTCCAAGTTTTCACCTTTAAATCTGGGTATTTTTTCGGAAATTAAATTTCTCATCTAATTTATCTTGCAGACGATCAAACGCAATTGTTGAAGGAAGTGGCTGTACTCGTGAGCATTAATTTAGAGCTTGTGAGACCGGCTTAAGGATGCAGTGGCTTGCGGTATTAACCTTAACCTCACTTGCCGTCTTCTTCGAGACGTTGGCGCGCCACGTAGCACTGGCTAGTGATGGCAAGTTGCTACGTGTCCGAGGTATACCTGTCGCCAAAAGCTCTCTTTACTCGCCTGACAGAGATTTCGAATGCCTGGACGGCAGCCTTCTTATACCTTTCAAAAGAGTTAATGATGACTACTGCGACTGTGCTGACGGCAGCGATGAACCTGGCACCGCTGCCTGCACCAATGGTTCTTTCTATTGCGGAAACTTAGGTGAATTATCTATTGCTTCTTCGTTGCATGCTTTTTTTCATTTTGTTTCCGCTTTTTTTTCTCTAAAATAAATTTCTTCTGGCACTTCCAACTTCCAATTTATAACATTTCTTAGTGATGTTTGTACATTTTCTGTTTTTCACATATCCCTGTTGCTGAAATTTTTTAAGTGTTTCTCGTACATGCATTATTAAAAGCAAAATTGTATTCTATTTCATTCATGAGTATATAAAATACATGCTGCAAGATTGGTTGTGTTACATTGTTTTATCTTGAATGTGGCAAATAATTTCTGAATCTGACTTCATAAATTGTATATTACATTAGTAATTGTATTGTAATTAGTAATCTATTATTATAGGGTATCAAGCAACATATATTCCTTCTTCGTGGGTAAACGATGGAATTTGTGATTGCTGTGATGCTAGTGATGAGTATTCTTCTGATGTCCAATGCATAGATAACTGCCATGAATTAGGACAAGAAGCTTGGCTTGAAGCGCAGCGTGCAGCTGAATTAGCCAAAGAGGGTAATAAAATACGACTAGAATATATACAAAAAGGTAAGCAGCTCAAGACAGAGAATCAAGCTAAACTAGCAGAGTATCGTACTAGCTACGAAGAAGCTGAACTGACCAAGAAAGAGAAAGAAATTGTAAAAACAAGAGCAGAGGAACGTGAAGCTGCTGCTCTTGAGAAATATAAACCTCCACCTTCACCTGAACATGAGGAGGAAAAAGATATTTCTGACAATGAAGTTAAAGAATATTTTCTTATGTTAGACTCTGATTCTAGTGGTACTGTAACGATAGCTGAGTTGCAAACTAGAGTTACTTTTGACAAGGACCGTAATGGGGAGGTTAGTCGAGAAGAGGCTTTATTCTTCTTGAACAATCAAGAAGAATTAACAATGCAAGAATTTATTGATTCTGCCTGGACAAATATCAAGCCATTCCTTATGCTAGAAAAAGGCAAGTTTATGTTTTTAAAATATTCCTTAGAATTTTTTCCTCAAAGTTTAAGTAATTGAATTTGATTCCTGTAGGAATTTTTCAAGTTGCCGAAAAGAAGAATGCTCAAGAGAGCGAGCACGATCAGTCCGATAATGAGTCTCATGACGCTTCCGATGAACATCACGAGGATGATGATCACGAAGACGAAGAACATGAAGAAGAGGGCCACGACGGTGAAGTGGAAGAGACCAACGATGAGAAACAGCCTGAACCCGAACCCGAGATGGAACCTGCCGTTCAATATGACGAAGAAACTCAAGCCCTTATTGATGAAGCAAAGGAAGCTCGAGAAAAGTTCCAAGAAGCTGAGCGTCACGTTCATGATCTCCTGAACGAGATGCGCAAGCTCGAGGAACGCGTCGAGCGCGATTACGGCCCCGACGAAGTCTTCGCTTCACTGGACGGCCAGTGTTTTGACTATACGGATCTCGAGTATGTGTACACACTGTGCTTATATGGGAGAGCATCACAGCGGTCCAAATCCGGTGGCAACGAGGTCAACCTCGGTCAGTGGAATGAATGGATTGGGGACGGTGTCAACAAGTACGCTAAAGCTAAATATGACCGCGGTCTCACCTGCTGGAATGGTCCGTCGAGAAACACCATCGTCTCGCTCAAGTGTGGAATTGAGAATAAACTAACTGCCGTTGCTGAGCCCAATAGGTGCGAGTATACCATGGACTTTGAAACACCTGCGTTATGTAATCCTAATGTCGAACAGAACACTGATATACACGACGAACTGTAATTTTTTACTTTTTAATTATTCCTTCATTTTTCAACTTTAATTTCGAGTGCGGATAAAAAAAAATTAAACGAAATAATTTGGTTAAAAAAACTGAAAGAAAAAAGAAAAAGCTTTCTTAAAAATATCTTGGATATTTATCAGCGAAATGCGTTCAAAGATAATGAAGGAATATTAATATCAGGCTTGTTTATGAAATGAGTTATGAGAATACAATGAAAATATATTGGATGTGTAACATAGAATATATTTTCATTTAACATTTCCTATAAACTCCAATGTACAAACGTGCCACGATATTTCATATTGTTTCCTTTATATCAATTTATCAGTTTTAACATTATCTTAATATCTTGTAATGCAGTTATTTATATGTTGTACTCATGTGTACTCTTTGTTGTGAAATGAATTTTCACGAATTAAATTTTTGTAAGTGTACCTGGTACACAAAAATTTGACTTGCACTGCTATGAGATAGAAGTTAATTACTAATAACCACATCCTCGAAAGCACTTATTGATAGCATTTTTTTCTATTCATTGTTGATGAAGAAAATGTGAATTGTTATGAAAGTATAGGTCAATCGCATTATAGGTATTCAACAGAAAGTTTTACAGTAATCGAACCCATAGTTTTTTGTATAAAACAACTTAAATTTATAATATTCACATGGCTATATATAATTGATACGTTTGGCGCTTTACGATCACGATAAGCGAAGATTGTAAATTTGTATAGCATGTTCATTTTTAAAATAATGCGTTTGTCAAGATTTCAATATGCTCATTTTATAATTAAATGAATGCTTTTGCTCATCACTGGAGAAAGGATGTAGGAATTAAAGATTGATGTTGGTAGAATGAAATTTCACGATAATGATACGTTTCAACGTTGAATGAGTAAATATTTTTCATGTTAAGGAGGGAGTTTCTGCAAATTTCGTTTTTTGAAAATAGAGACAAGGATTTTGTACAAAATAAATGTACTTTAAATATAACATCAAACACGATACCGAAAAATTGAGTGACATTAATCTAATACATTCCTATTTTGTATTCTGAAAATTTTCACAGTTATGAATGCGAATGATACTAAGATGACAAGATATCCTGTGATACAAAATCGGTTGCTTTTTCAATAATATCGATTTTAATGTAAAAATGCGTACGGCTACTTTTTATTTTAATAGTGAAAGCACCTAGCGCACATCAAGTATTTTCATAGATTGAAAATAAATACTTGATCAAGATGGCTAAGATTGTCGATATGTAATTAAGTGTATACTGAAATAATTGCATTAAATCCTTGATAGCATTTTTTTAATTTATGCAACTTTCATGCAAGTTATGAAAGTTCCAATGAGGAAATTATGCTTTTTTTGATTTAGCATTTTTTGTGTAAGATCATCCTTGTTTACATTTCATCGTCCTTTACACGTGTATTTTCAGATGACAATTTTCAGTCACTTGAATTTCTCCGAAATTGTGCAATGTGCGTATTTGTAAGATATTTTGTAAATGTACCTTTAAGACGATGAGTGTAGATTAAATAAAACTGTTTACCTACGTTATTTTTGGTCATTTTCAATAATTAACCCGTATTTTTCTACTTACAAATTCTGCTTCAGTTTTTTGCATCGTCAAAATTTAAATTTATTAAAAGAGATGAATTCTCTTTTCTCGACATATTTTCTCTTGCATTTGGAATTCAATCGATTACGAAGATTTCATTGATTTGATAAACGTCAACAGAAGTTTTCTTACACAATTTTCAATCAACTTGCAGATCAATGAAGATAAATTGAATAATGAAAAGATCAAATAAGTCAACGTATTATAGCGATGGCAGCTTTATTTACATAAAAAAATCGGCAAAATTGTAATTTCTAACAATGGTCGTTCTAAACTTCTAAGCTCTACATTTTTAGTTGTTTAGAGATCTATTATTCATAGATGATTATCACTAACATTATAATTTTTTTAACTCGCTCTTCATTCATCACTTTTCTGATTTTTCGAGCTCGTGTGTAAGGCACTTGAGGCTTAATAATTTCGTCGAAAATCGTTCGTTTTTTTTAATTTTTGTTAGGTTTATAGTTCGTTAGCAGTTGTCTTACGCCATTACACAGTAAAAGAACATTACACGAGGTCATCTATTTACAAAATAAAGAGAAACATTACAGAAAAATAATACGATACTACGAGTACATACGTACAGGTATACTAAATGTGAACTGAACTACTGTACACACGAGTTAACGGCTCTAGAAATAGCCACCTTTATCTCGGCTTTTGTAATAGAAAAAAATTGGATAGCGTCGAATACTTAAAACCAAAAAGAACTTAAGGCAAAAAGCGTCAAATGTAAATCTCAAAAAACAAACGTTTTACAATGTTAATGAAACACTTTGTTAGTTATTATGTAAAATATTAACAATCAATTGAAGTTTAACACATCGTACAGGAAAATGTTTGTTTCGTATAGAATTTATCAAAACATACTAGTGAATGATATAAAATTTCACTGGAAACACTCGTGAACCGAAGTAATTGACCGATAATTTATATATTTTATCAACAACGTATTTGTAAAACTCAACGTGATAGACTTTCAAAACGGCAATTTTCGCAGCTAAACAGTAACTAAAGATTTTGCGACACATATACATATAATTTTAAACTTCATAACTCAATATAAATGTTTACACAGTCTGTTCTACATTTTGTTATTATAACAGACTTATTTGGAACTGGTACAATCGAAGATTTTGAAAAAGCACATTAGTTTGATAGTAAAGAAAAAGCTCTGAAAATATCTCAACAAAATATCTAATTTGTCATTCATTCTTTGAGTGTGATTTTTTCTTTGCGAGTGTCGTCTCGCGATTTGTATAATACTGTGCATTAAAAGGTGATTTGCCAAGGTAGACAAGAAAAATGAAAATAGCGATTGAGCGAATTGAGTGCAGCACCAGTAACCTCTATATGACAAGGAAAATAAACGATCGAAGAAACAAGAAGAATTAATGAAAAATCTCACAATAATCCATAATCGGCTCATTTGCCTAGTTTCTCGAACATGATGAGTTTTTCCTTGAAGCTTTTGGTGTCGGTCGACACCTCGGATATATTGCCGTTAAGCATATTCTGCAGATCTTCGTCCGTGTTCGGCGACGAGAGAAGATTGTTGATCGTCGAGCTCAGAGTCTTGTTTTCCTCGGAGCTGGACTGCTGGTTCTGGCTGTGCTGCTGGTGCAGTTTCTTTTTGGGGTAGACCAGCAGCGGAGTGGAGCCGACGGTCTTCGACGAGGCCTTATCCTCCTCGTGTTGCTGCTGGTTATTGCGGTGGACGTTGTCGTTGTTGCCGTTCTCCTGGGCGATGCGCGAGACCAGGCTGTAGGCCAGCAGCTGATGGATGTCCAGGTTGCCGGAGTCCCTGGACTCGTGAGAGTCGGCGCGTCGTCGCCAGTACGAGCCCAGCCGGTCGTGCTCCGGCTGCTCGCTCCCGAGCTTCTCGCGCCTCTCGAGGATGCTCTCGGTGGTCTCCTCGTCGCGCCTGTCCAGCTCCGAGCAGTGGTGGCCCGGCTGCTCTTGCAGCTCCCGCTCCAGACTGTCGAGCGTTTCCTCGCTGTCCGACGACTTGGCGGTGTTCCGCCGCTCGGAGTCGAGGGTGTCGGTGCTGCCCAGCTCCGAGCTCTCCGAGCTCCGCTGCAGGCTGCTGCCGGCCTCGAGCTTCCGCCGCGGCCCGACGGCGCTGCGCTGCTCGTCCGGCGAGCCGGCGGCGCCGAGCGCCCAGCCGGCGGCCGCGGACCGCCTGCGCTCCTTGGCCCGCTGCTCCAGCCGGCAGGTGTCGTCGAGCTCCGGGTTGTCGGAGCTCTCGGACGAGTGGAGGGGCCGGCGGCTCGGCCTCCAGCAGCCGTCGAGCGGCCGGTCCTGGGCCGCGGGCGGCGCGCCCGCGGCGGCGTCGCAGCTCTCGGACGACTTGGACAGCAGCAGCAGCAGCAGCTTGCCGCGCCGGCTGCCACCCCGCGAAAGGTTCACCTCGGAGAGGCTCGGCCTGGCGGGCTTGTCCAGCTCGGCGCCGGGCCGGGCGCGGCGCAGCGCCTGGCGCTCGTGCAGCGTCGCCTCGAAGCACTCGGTCGACTTGGACATGAGCTTGTGCACGGGCTTGTGCGCCCCGGGCCCGATCTCGAAACTGCTGCGCCGCCGCTCCGCGGCGCCCGGCGCGTCGCCGCCGGCCTCGAGAGCCCGCAGCGCCGCCTCCAGGCTGTCGGACGACCTGGCGCAGCAGACGCGCTCCTGCGACTTGGAGATGGGCTGGAGCAGCAGGCGCTTGGCGGGCACCGGCCTGCCGGTGCTCGACGCGTCCTCCGGGTCCGAGAGCTTGTCGAAGCCCTCGCTGGACTTGCTGAGGCGGTCGGGCGGAGCGGCGCCCTCAAGGCTGTCGGGCGACCGGCAGGGCCGGCCGGGGGCGGCGGGCCCGCGCCCGGGCGAACGCGGCTCCGCGCTCCTCGGCGAGGGCCGGGGCGGCTCACCGGGCTCCGCGGGCGGCGGCGGCGGCGGCGGCGGGCTCGCGTCCAGGCCGGCCTCGAGGCTGTCGGGCGAGGCGGCGGCGGCGGTGGTGCGCCGCCGCGCAGCGGGCGGCCCCTCGGGCTCCGGCGCGGTCGAGCTCCTCGAGCCGCTCGAGGACTGGCGCAGCACGGGCGCAGGCCTGCGGTCGGCTGGGCTGGCGCCGACCTCGCCGTCCGGGGCGCCTTCCAGGCTGTCCGGCGCGTCGCTCGAGTCCTCGGAGGCGCCATCCGGGCGCGGCGGGCCGCTGGAGTTGCCGCGCCGGGGCGGTCGTCGGTTCCTCGGGCGCACCGAGATCCGATGCAGTGCCGCCGAGTGGCTCAGCTGGCCGCTCTTCAGCTCGGCTGCAACAGAAGCGCACACGGGAGTGGCGCGTGAGACCCGGGCCGTGCAGCGGCCAACCACGGCCGTGGGCTAGTCGATACATACGTAAATCCTGCCTGGGCGGCGAGCCGGGCGGGCCCTCGGCGAGCGAGGCGCCGCTCGGCGGCGCGGGCTCGTCCCTCCGCGAAGCCTGAGGACAAACGTGAAGCGGTTAGCTCGGCCGCGCGCCTGGAGACCAGGGGAAGCGTGGCCGATCGGTTTCGCGGGCGCCGATCGTAGTCCGGGTCAGGCGCAGCTCGCGGCGACGGCGACTCCCGGCAGCGCGTCGAATAGCAAACAAAGCCGTGGAACGGGCCTAGGCGAGCGCACGTGCGACGGGCGCCCGTGCGCTCGCGGCTGCTTCAGCGGCGCCGAGTCAAGCCGAGCGCGGTTAACGGTAAACGCAGAGTGGGAAGGAGAGCGAGAGACCGGTCTACGCGCGTCTTTGTGTGCAGCGATCAACGCCTTTCCCAGCGAAGCCGACGTTCGGTGCTCGCTAAGCCCCTTTGCTGCGAGTGCCCCGCGCTTGTTAGACTTCCCCGACCGACGGGCGCTCCGCCGCAAGGGCTTCCTCTCGCGAGCTTGCGCTACAGCTAAATTGCGCAACCTCCTCGTCGTCGACGTCGATCCGCGCTGGGATCCTCTGCCGTGGCCTCGCCTCCGTCTTCCGGTTCGCGTTCCGCGGCGTCGGCTGCTGCTCGTTGCGGAAGATCTGCAGCTGGCCCTCCACTTGTTGCCTCAAGCCGTACACGCCGATCGTCACTCTGGCCCTGCTCGGCGGCCCTTGGTGCTGCTGCTGCTGCTGTTGCTGCTTGAGCGCGTGATCGATGCCGTTGACTCGGGGATCCAGCAGGCGACGTGTCCCCACTGGGTTCAAGTTCAGCTGCTCGATTATCGCGCGGATGTTGGACGAGATGCTGCTCTCGCGATGCGACACCACCATTTTTGCGGGCCTGCCGTGCGACAGTCGTGTCGGCCAGAAAAACAATGTGAAAACGGAGCCTCCAGAGAGTACGAGAGCCTCGGTTCAATTTCAGTCGACAGTGCCGAGCTGCGCTCGAATCGATTTTCCGGCCGCTGACGTCGCTCGACGCGACGGCCTCGCGCTTGAAAAACACGCGCGCACTCGCGCGGCCCGTTTGTTTCTCCGGCGGAGCGTCGAGTGCTCCGCGCCGAGCGCGCTGCGCACTTTCGAAAATTGCTCGATTACTCGAGCAGCGAGGTAGCGGAGGAGCGAGGCACTTGCGTCACTCGTGAAATTCAGATGGGCAGGCTATCGAAAGGAAAGTCGATTAGATAATTGGCCAACTAATCTGGATGGTTTGAGCAAACACAATTGGCTTGGCTGGATAGCGCGCGAGGAGGAAGTGAAAGCCGCGCGCAACAAAAGAGATCGCGGGGCTGGGCAGGAGCGTCGAGCGCGACGCGACCGCTCGAGCAGCCTCGGCGCGTGACTCATCGCGCGGGCGGCCCCGCGCCGGCCATCTACGTCGCGAGCCGCGGGGGCCCGCGACGCCAACGCGCGTCCCCCTTCGCGCGACGGCGCGCTGCCGTTATCCGCGGCTCGCGCGCCTCGAGTCCCCGGGTCCAAGGAGGTCTTTGCGCGCGCGACGCGTTCGAGCAGCTGACGCGCCGTTGTCGATCGCCGCACGGCGGGCGCGCGCCAGTCCCATCGACGTCTCGGTGACCGCGGCTGTCTGCAGTCGCGTGCCGGCCGCCGACGACGCGTCCGACCCGCCTCGCGGGCTGGTTTTCTCAAGACGGAGCGCCCGCTGCATTACGACACCGAGGTATCGAGATATCGGAATTGCCGGAGGAGTCTCGTCCTCCGTCGAGACAAGAAAGCCTTGCGACGTCTCAAAGTCGATCGTTCGCTGAAGCAGCGCAAATGCGATGCGTGCGCGACCTGCTCTTATTCGAACTCCGACGAGGGCCGTTGCGTAGGAGTCGCTCCAATCTTTCCTCCTCGCCGAGCGAACGGTGCCGCCGCGACGATAGGCACCGCCGTGCCGACGGAAGAAGCCGAGCGCGGGAGAATCGCACGCACTTGATCAGCGTTAATGGTCTGAGAACGTCGCTGATACCGAGAGGCACGCAGCATTCATCAAGGTCAATCGAGGGTAGGCAGGCGCGCCACGGTCGCGCGATTCCATCGGTGCTGTAACGCGCGGAGGCCTACGGAACCGGGGAACGCGCGTCGGAAATGTAGCGCACGCTCGCGTTTCCGCGCCATTGTCGCCGGGAAATATGCGGTCGCGTCGCGTGGTCGCGCAGCTCGACAAAAAGATGCCTCCCTCGCTTCTGTTTTTTAACGGCGGGTCGTTCGGCCGAGACGAGCACAATGCCCGAATTATCGCCAGCGCCCGCGCGGCTTCGTGCACTGTGTATCCGCTCGGTTTCGCGTTTGCGACTTCCGAGCCGCCTGCAGACCGACGACGACGGTTGATTTTTCAAGGCGAATCGGACCAGGCGACGAGAGCCAATCGAGATTGGGATTCGCGACTGCGGACGACCGACTCTGCCTGTGCTTGCCTCCAATGCTTGGCCCTCCCGTTTCTCCCGGACTCGAGAGTGCGACTTCGAGCGAGTATCGCTCGCTGTCGACTCTCACTGTATAAACAGGCCGTTAAGATGAAGCAGCGAATGTTCATCAACGCCTAATTAGCCGGGATAGGATCGGGAGGGCGAACGCAGGCACGCGGAGGCATCGGATAGGGGAAGTAAAGCGTCGCTGCGCCGGGCGAACGGCTCATTAGCGGATCGGTCAAAGTCGGTTGCATAAAAGGCGAAAATCCGCGCGAGAGCGCGAAATCGAGCCGCTGCACCGGCGCACGGCTCGCTCGCTCGAGTCGGCTCGCTTTCTCGCCGAGCGACGCGCGCTCGCGACTCGTCCTTTGCGCCGGCAACCCGTCGCGTGCGCCGCGTGCGCCGCGTGCGCCGCGTGCGCCGCGTGCGCCGCGTGATCGCCGGCGTCGATCCCGGCGCAGCGGTGAAAATTGGCCGAGAGAGTCGCCCGTCGAGAAGGAGCGCCGGCGGGTGGATAAAGAGATCGAGAGATATCGCCGCGCGGCCAGCGGCCCCGAGTTTCGTCACTGGTATCATTAGCGCGCTCGAGGCGAAGAGAGAGGATGTCGTCACTAATTGCCGCGAAAGCCCGCGCGATTGCGCGCCACCGGAAGAGAGCAAGAGACAACGGCCGGCCGACACTTGGCACCACCGACCACTGGCCCGACAGCCCTGCCGAGTGAAACTGGACCGACGGTAAGGCTCTCGCCGGACGACGGCGACCGGAGGCTGGCTCACGGTTGGTCACTGGAGGTGCGAGCAGCGGCGGCGCCAGGCCCGGGGCGGCATCACGGGCGCGCGCTCGCGGGCGGGCGAGCGCGACGGAGCTGGGACGGCGGCGCGGCGTGCGCGCTCGCTGCGCGGCGAACTGGACTGGAGGCTCGGCGCGGCGCGGCGCGAGCAGCGGACGAGCAGCGCCGCTCGCGCTGCGCCCACTCGCGGCGCTGCTCGCCGCCGGGGGCTGCTTCCTCCGTCGGCCGCGTGGCCGAATCTGCTTTCGGCCGAGTCGAGGTCGCCGACCCGAGGCGAGGCCGCGGCCGAAAGCTCGCCGCGACGGGGAGAAAGCGTCTTCCGGCGCCCAGCGGCTCGGCTGCACCTTCGCTCGCCAGCTGCCGCGCGCTTTCGACTCGGACGTCGGAGCGCGCGCCGAGAGCCATCTGCTCTTGCCACTCGCCGACGTTAGAAGAGAATCGTTGGATCGCTGCATTACCCGGAACGACTGGCGCTCGCGCTCTCTACCTTATCGGCGGTCGTGCGCGGGCTTGCGGCTCTCCGGGGAGTCGCGCTTGCGCCGCGCCGCGCAAGACGAATCGCTACGTCGCAGCTCGTGTGCGTACCGACGAAAGCGAGGAGGGCGGGAGGGGGGCGGGAGAAGAGAGAGACGTACAGAGAGAGTAGCGAGTCGTGGCGCAAGATGGGAGGCCGAGCGCGCGAGTTCTCTCGCGGAGAAACCACAGGTAAGAAAGCTCGGGCCGAGTAACGGGGAAAAAACGTTAATGTGCACAACGAGGGCGCGTGCGCGCGACACGCGGACCGACGCACGCACGGGCCGAGTCGGGAGCAGCCGCATTTTCCGAGGCTGCGTCTAACAGGTTGTCGATGCTGCCGCTGCTTTTTCCGCGCTCGTCCGACGGCCGGTCGCTCGGTCTGCCCGCTGCGATGCCCGCGCGGGGGGCATTCGTCGAGATCGTCGAAGCCGAGTCGCGGCTCGGCCGAGCGCTCCGAATCTCACAGGTTGCCACGAGTCCGCGAGCGGCAGCGCGCAGTCAGCAATCGCGCGCTTTATGCGCTCCAACGATTTTCAAGGTCTCCTCGGCGTGCAGCGCACGCGCTCTCTAATGACAGACCGCGATCGACGCGCACGATGACGTCACTGCAATCGAAGCTCCGCTCGTGCGCCGATGCTCGATCGCTTCTCGCTGAAAGGCCCGTCGCCCGCGTCGCCCGCGTCGCCCGCGTCGCCCGCGGAGACGTGCAATTGGCACGACGGCCGTGCCGCTACAGCGACGCTCGAGAGAAGCCAATCGGCAACGCGGCTCACAAAGGACGCGCAATCGCTGCGCGCTGGATTACTCACTGCTGCTTGTGCGTCCTCGGCGACAGTGCCGCCGCTGCTGGCGCTCTTGCCCCGTCCGGAGAAGCGGTTCTGTGGACAGCAGAAAAACAGACCGCGTCACTTTCCCTTCGATGGCTCTCACGCGCAGTACGACGCAGCTCGACAAAGTCAATCGCGTGCGCGCGACGCGACGCGTAATCGCCAGCAAAGCGCGCGCTCGCCCCGCCGTGTCTCTCGCCTGCCAGCCAGCAGCTCGGCTGATTCATTAGCGCTGGTTTACCTCTGCCGTAATCGCGAAATTACGGGCGGCCGACAGCTGTGGGAAAAATGCCTCGCCCATTGTTTCTGGCCGCTCCGACGACGCGGCCGACGCGCGCGCCGTGGAGCCTCGGCGGCGGGCTCGCTGCGATTTGCTGGCGATGCCGACGCCTCGAGCGCAACAGTTACCCCCATTCCAGCGACGAGCCGCCTGAAGCGCTTCATCCGGGCTGAGTCCTCGGGGCCCTCGCGGAGTCACGCGGGCGCGCCGCGCACCGCCGTCGACGGCACCTGTGCGAGCATCCGCGCTCCGCGCCAGCGACGAGGCACGGGCGACCGGAGCCGGAAGACTCGCGGGGAACAATGGCGCGGGCCTTCCCCCGACAGCGACGACAGCGCCGAGAGCTGCGACCGCGCGGGCGTCCAAGACGCGACTGCAGTCGGCGCGGATGCGGAGAGCGCGAGCCGGCCTTGCGTCGGCCGCCTTTATCTCGCCGCGCGCACCCGCGCTCTTCCCGCCGATAGCGCGGCCCGGTCGTCGGAGCGCCGGAAGCTCCGCGCGCGCCCCGGGAGGCGATCGATCGCCGCGACGCTCGCGCGCGCGCCGAAGCGATCCATCGTTCGTTGGCGGCGCGCGGCGCGGCCTGGCCGCTCGAATTGCTGATGCAGTCGTCAATGTCGCGGCGTTGCGCAACGCGGCGCCGGCCGTGCCCAGACCGGCCGAGAGCGCGACGAGCGATCGCGCGCGCGACGCTCGCGTGCGGGGGGGCAGTTAGGCCGTCGCCGCTCGTCGCGCCCGCGGAAATCTGGTTCCGGCTCTCGATCACCGTGTCGATCCGTTCGAGAAGCTCCACGCGTAGCGTAGCGTCGCGGCGCTCGCCCGCATCGCTGTCCGGCGCTTCCGCGTGGGCTGCGGGCCTCCTCGATCGCGCCGGCCACGCCGAGCGCGCAACACGCGTGTCCGGCGTGGTTGGGCGTCCAGCGATGGGGTCTCGGGCCGCGCGCGCGTATCCGCGCCTTTCATCGAGCGATCCGCGCGCGGCGCGCGCTGCAATTAAGCCTTCTCGCCTCGCGATCGCAGGTAGAAAGTACGAAGCGTCCGCTGCCATTTTCGAATCGTGAAAATGGACGCGAGCCGGCGGCCGATCCAACCGGCGGACTGCACCGCGGCGTGGAAATTTGAATCGACGTAGGCGAGCCGCGCGAGGAAAAGGAGTGCAGCGAAAATCGGCGTTCGACGTTCCGTTCTGATAGGCGAAAGAAAGTCACCGTCTCGTGGCGCGGCTCGCGGCCGATGGACGCGCACTCACCTCGAGGCTGCTGCCGTTGCTGCTGCTGCTGGGCTGCGCGTCCAGGGCGCAGAGGGGCCGCGCGTGGGCCGCCTCGCCGGGGAAGACGCTGTCGTGCGACACCGACAGCTGGGCGCTGTTGCGCTGCAGGCTGGCGAAGGACTCGCCGAGGCCCCGGTGGCGCGGGAACGGTCTGCAAAGCGAGTCAGCCGCGTGAGTCGGCCCTGGGGCGGGGGGCAGGAGCGCGCGGGCGCTCGACTCACCGATCTGGATCGTCGCACGCGTCCGTGAGCAGCTCACTGGCGCTGCGGCTGCGGATCTCGTCGGGCCGCGGCGTCGCCTCCTGCCGGTCGTGGCGAGTCGCCGGCGCGGCCGCCTCGGCGCCAGGCTCGTCGTCGGGGGGCCGCGAGTCCGCCGCGCCCCGGCTCTTCTTGCGGAAGATGCGCCTGAGGCCGCGCAGCGGGTGGAAGCGGCGCTTCTTCGGCTCTGTCCAACACACCAAGCGACGGTCAGTCGGCGCTCTCGCCATCGACGGGGCCAGTGCGCCGCCGTCGCGGACGTCGCGGAAGGGGATCGCGGGCAGTCGGCCCGCCGGCTGATTAGTCGTCCGACACATCCGTCGACGACGGCGGCTCACCGCAGCGCGCAGGCGACTGCTATCCGCGCTGGCCCTTTCGTCTCGACGCTCGCGCACTAGTGATCCACGAGAATGTCGGAATGACGAGAGCGCAACGTCGAGCCTGTTATCGTCCGCGGGGGGGGGGGGGGGGGGGGGACGATCGCGCGATAACCGACCCGACGTTGCGATCGACTCGAAGCGTTCAGTGGTCGTGCGCGCTCGCGCGCGTCGATGAATGCCAATGAGAGGTCGGCCGCGACGAGAGTCGTTGCCAGGCGTGTCGCGCGCGTCAGACCACTTGTCAAGCGTAATAAGTTGTCGAGCACTCGGCACAGCTGCACGGCTGGAGTAAACAAGACTGGTGGTGGCCGGGTGTCGTTCGAGACTCGCGGGACCGGCGGCCGGAGGAGAGAAGCCCGTGAGCTTGGCGACAATTACCATCGAACAGTTTGTCGAACGCGTCGAGCATGGCGACGAAATCGCGCGAGCGCGAGCTGTGGAACGACTGCCAGCGCGATCGACTTGGCGTCAATAATGAATTCCATCGATAAGATTAGCCGCGTCGCTGCCGCCACCGCCGCTCAGCGACGGCATAGCCGGTCGGTCGTGCGAGAGATGGATCGCGAGTAGCTGGCGAACGCGTCAGGGGAAGCCGTAGGCAAGCCGCGCTCGTCAATGTACCGTTGCGGATGCCAGCTACGCATCGATTTTTCCATTGTTCGCGCCGCGGCCTCGCGCACTCGACGACGGCGACGACGACGACGACGACGATCGATTGCTCGCGCAGCTCGCCGATTCCCGCGGCTATCGTCGCGGACGTCAGCGCCGTCGGGGCGGCTGGCCCGTCGTGGAGGCGATCGATGTCGCCGCGGCAGCGAGCGCACGCGCGTCGCCGGAGCCGAGGCGCGCGACCGAAAGTGGAGCACGGTCAGGGTCGCGCCGTTCGCGCCGTTCGCGCATCGCCAGTCCTTCGGCGCGGAGCGAGCGCTGCTACTGACCTTTGGGCGTCGAGTCGAAGGCGCGGTGATTGGGCGGCAGGGCCCGCGGCCTCTGGGGCTGCTGCCGGGACTGCTGATGATGCTGCTGCTGCTGCTGCTGCTGCCGGGGCTGGTCGTCGAAGGGCGGCGGCGGCGGCGGCGGCGGCGGCGGCGGCGGTGGCGAGGCCTCTCTCATGCAGCCTATGAAGCTCAGCGGGCCCGAGCCGCCCGCGGGCTGGCTCGCCATCGCCATCGCCGCTGACTGCTGCTGCTGCGCGCTCGGCCCCTGAAACACGTCCATCAGCCAACTCGCGGCGCGGACGTCGCCCAGCCGGCGCAGCCAGACGGCCAACAGCCGCGTGTAGCTGGTCTTGCGGCGGCCGGTCGACGACGTCATCGGTGGGCTCTCGTGCCGCGAGCGGAGGCGCGCGGCGCACTGGACCGCGCTCGCCAGTGGCGAACCGCGAAGGGGCCGCGGGGCCGGGCTCCCGTGGCAACTGCGCCGGTGCAGCCGAGCCAGCGTCTTGGGTAAGGGCTCGCATCGATTGCGCGCGGCGGGACGCCGTCGGCGCGGCCTTGACACTGCGGCCTCTCCCCGTCCCCGCCCCTCCTTTTTCAATTTCGCGACATCCGCGTGCGCGCACAGGTGTCGTGTCGCGACAGCCGCCACTCGTCTGCCTTTTTTATCCCCGGAACACTTTGACCGGCTGACGTTGACGACGTCGGCGTAATCGCTGGCAACAACGAGCCCCGACAACGCGAACGTCGCTGCTGAAAGAGCCGCCCGACCCGTATCCGGCAGCGTCGATTACAATTCGACTCTAAATCGACTGATTTGACAATGCCGAGCTGTCCATTGAAGCCGACCGCTGGAAGGCGCGCTGCGCTCCCGTTCGAGAGCCGCTCGATCGAAGCGGCTCGCGGGCACTGTTTTTCTATGCTGATCTCGCGAATAATCCTCCGACTGGCCGCTATATCCAACGCGTTTGTTTGTTTCTAACCGGGACGCACTTCCATTATGCACCGCGCCGCGCCCACAGTTCGTCTCTGGCTGCGCGCCCGTGCCTTCGGACGAACGCGGAATTGACTCGCGAAAGCTCGCTCCGTCACGCGAGTTCCGCGAAAAAACGAAAGAAAGCAGGCATGCCTCGAAGAATCCGAGAGCGCGCGCGCGCGCGCCACTGGTTCGACTGTCGCGTCGAGTCGCCTGCTCTCGCTTTCAGTCCGATGGCACACTGGCGATAAGCGAAAATCGGGTCGACCCACTTCTGGCCAGTAATTTCAAGAGGCCGAACCGTCGATCGCTATCTCGACGGCCGCCAGAGAGCGCGAAAGCGAAGCGCAACAAAGCCGAGTGACCGCGCGGGGATACGGCCCGGGGAGACGAGCACCACAGGGCGCGGAGCGCTTCCACTTCCAGGGCGAGTGCGGGACGTGGGCTTCGGTGGCGTCCGGTCTCGGGGAAAACCAGGAGGATACGCCGCGCCGGACGAGGGACCGCGAGTGACTCGTCGCGGCACCGTTTATCTTATCGAGGCGCGCGCGCGCGCGACGTCACAACGGCAGCCGCCGCCGCGGCCGCCGCCGCATCCTCGCGGCCCGTCCGCGAGGATAAAAGTCCAAGATAGACTTGCTCCGATTACGATTGCGTGCGCGCGCTTCCGAACGCGCTGCCGAGTGAGTCGCGGGAAGAGGCGACGGGCGGCGTAATTCGCAGGCTGCTCTCGGCGCTCGCGGGCAGATGAAGCGTCTTACCTTACACGGCGAGCGGCATCCCAAGTGGAGCAAGCGTAGTCCGAGAATCTGAAATCGGAGATGCACAAAGCGTGAGTACACGAGCAGTCGGCTCAGCGGGTTTACAGGCAATGGCGAGAGTGAGAAAGAGAGATAGAGAGAGAGAGAGAGTGAGAGAAGCCGACGGACGGAAGTTGAGTCGAGGGTGGCGCAAGAAGAACTCATTACCCGGCCAGCCAGACAGCGCTCGAATAGACATCGCGAAAGACAGACGGCGGCGACGGCGCTAGTATTCGGAAAAAAAAATAGACTCGGAGAAGGTCTCCGCGAGAGAGTGGCGCAGCGACGAGAGAGAAGCCGACGCTCGACGCTGGACGCCCGACGACGACTCTGCTTCGCTCGCTCGCTTTCGGCCTACTCTGTTATATTTATAAAGGAGTGAACGAACGCATCAGAGCCGAGAGCCGTCGACTCGCTCTTTCTCTCTTTCTCTCAGTCTCTCGCCGCCGAGTACGAGGATTTCCTCTCGGGATTTCTTTGTCCGTTGATTTTCGCGCGGTGATTATACCGAAAGCAGAGCCACCGAGGCTCTTTGTCGGATGTTGCTCCGAGTAATAGCTCCGGCTGATTTTCCCTGTCGGGCGGCGCATTGTCTGCTCTTGCCTCAGTCCTCCCCTCCTCGATGACGCGCGGCGAGTCGCGGCAAGCTCTCGAACGGCGACTTTTCGAGGGTCGTTGCACCGACGATTCGCCACTAGGCTTCTCCTCTCCCCGCCCCGTTCGCTTCCCGGCAAGCTGCAGCTTTTTATTAATAGCTGCGTCATTTGTCGCCACGGCCGAACAAAGTCTATTCGAGGCTCCTAGCGCGGAGCGGCGATCGACGTCGAACCCGCGACCGCCGACGCACTACAGAGCTCTCCTCCCGGCGCGCAGGCCCCGAGCGCCGAGCAACCGAGGGCGAAAAGCTCGGTCGGGAAGAGTCGCCGTCGGCCTGCGCTTTACCGCGAGACCGCGGCACTCGATCCGGGACTCTCCGGCGCTGCAGAGGAGCGCGGCGCGCACGTGCGAGCGGGCGTCATCGAAAGTAATTCCGGGTGATCGACGCGACCGCGCCGACGGAGCGATAACCCGCCGCGGCGACCTACGGGCGAGAGCGAGAAAAACAAAGAGGGCTCGCGCGTCGAAGAGCAGGGCGCCAGAGGATAATGCTCGGCGGCGCGCGCGGCCGCGGGTCGACGTACTCGCGCGACGCCGTAGTATCGAGTTATGATAATGCCCGCGCGCGGCAGTGCCTCGCGCCTCGCGTGGGAAGGTCCGCCGAACCGCGTGCGAGCGCCAGTTGACCAGCTCGATCGCCTCGATCGATCTTACGGGTCGAGCACTGCTCCCCCCCGCGCCGCTCGCTCTCTTTGGCCGGCTCGCCACGACCGGCGTACGCCGCGAGCTCGTTCGAGCGGTGCGCAGCACGGCCGACTGCACGCGATCGCCCGCGCCGGATGGGCTCGCGGTCTCGTCACGCCGCGCTTCGGAGAGAGTCCGGGCGCCGGCGACGCGAGGCTTTGTCTCCGCCCGGGGTGTGCCCGACACGCGGGCGGTGCGCTCGATCGAACAGCTCCGCGGAGCAGTGCCCCGAGAGCACTCCGAGTGGGATTTCCGTCGAGGCTGGCGTAATCGTCGCGGATGACTCATCGACGCGCTCGCGCCAGCCCGCCCACCCTCGCAAGCGCCGCCAGGCAGCCGAGAAGCCGTCGAATCGTTCGATCTTTAGGCCGCGAGCCACTTTCCCGAAGGAGCGCGTGCCTCTTGGACGACGCCGAGCGGCTGGAGACTCGACTCGAACGCGCGCGCGCGCCAATTAAAAATAGCCGCGAGGAGAAAAGCTCGGCTGCGCGCGGCGACAAACACAGCTGTCTCTCTCGCGACGACAGCTGCATAAAGGAGTCGTTTGGAAGTGGGTCGCGCTCCATTGTCGATCCCGCGCGACTTAACGAGCGCGCGGAGGTTTACGCGCGCGCTCGCCGGCTAACAATAGGCACGTCGGCGCGACGAGCGGATCGCAGTCCGATCGCGATTCGACTGGACCGACGTGCGCCGGCGAGAACGAGCGGCGGCCGATCAGCGCGGAGACGCGGAGCGACGAACCGGTCCGCGGGCGCGGAACCACCGTTATGCATCGGAGAGAGGCGCGGCGCGCGGAGGAGGAGGAGGAGGCGCTGCCGCGCTCGGTGACCGGCGCGCCTTCCTCTCGCTCCCCGCGGCGCCTCTTTGTGCGCGCAGCGGCGCGCGGAGCCTAGCGGTTCGCCGCTCGTCCTTACTTTCCTTTGGCGCGCGCGCGCGCGCTGCGAGTCCGTCGACAGCGGCGTCGCGCGACCGGGCGCTGATGCAATCGCCGACTATTTATAGAGGGGCCGCGACGCTCGATTTTCACGGATGAACGGCCGGCCGACTCGAGGCGAAGCTGGCGCGCATGTGGGTCAGGCCTAAATTTAAGCCCGCAGGCCGACGCTGCGGAGAAGGAGCTCGCCCTCGCGCCCACCGGCGAACCGGTCATCCGCGGAGACCGGCTCGCGGGCACTCGCGGCGCGGCGGCCGGAGAACTGAGCGCGCGAAAGGCGGCGGGAATCGGCGCCGCGGGCCACGAGCGCGACTACGAGAGTGGATCTCGGGGCGGATTCCCACCGCGCGCGGCTCTCGGGACCGAGCCCGCACCAATGACCCAGTTGCAGCGGCGGCTGCTGCCCGAGCGCCGGCCAAGTTCAACGCACCTGCGGCCGGCCGCGGCGTCGATCGATGCGCCGAGTGCAAGAGCCGAGGCTCGCGGCAGGGGGAGGTCAGTGAACAGGGCGGCAGCTCCGCCGCGCGAACCTGTTGACGGGGCGCGCGCCGACGACGCTCTCGCGCTCGTTTGGCTTCGCCGGGGCCGGCGACGACGCCCGAGATCGCCACGCGGAGGTCGTTGGCGCGCACCTCTGCCGGTCGTCCTGAAGCCCGCGCGCTGCCGCCGCGAAGCCCTCGGCCACGGACGAGTGTCGGATTGCCGGCGCGGCGAGGCGTCGGAGCGCGCGCTCCGCGGGGCCGCACGCTCTGCTTCGGCCGAGGCGCGCCGCCTCCCCCCGCCGCGCCGCCCGCCGCCGCGGCGCCGTTTGCTTTCGAGCCGGGGCGCTCTCCGAGGCCATCTCGGCGCTGCGGCACTTTCACTCGCGGATCGGCCGCGCCGGCTCGGCAGATCGGTCGATCCGCTCGCCAGATTCGCCGGCGCGTCAGAGCCGAATCAACGGTCGTGGGAGAAGAAACTGGTTGGCGGAGGAGCCGAGGCTGCTCGTCCGAGGTCAATTGCGCAAGACCTCGTTGATAGCGCTGAAAGTAAGGCTCGTCCGGAAGACGTGGCGGCGGCGGCGGCGGTGGCGGCAGGGAGGGAGAGCGCGCGAGTGCGAGAGGTGGATGAACCAACGCCGCGCGAGCCCGCGGGGCTCGGCGGTGAGAGGGAGGAAGAGAGGGGCAACGCGCCGTTCAGAGGGGGCCGGGGCAAACGCGAGGCTGGCCGCATCTCGAGAGCCGACTAGGCGCTCGAAGCTTTGGCAGGTCAGAGGATGGTCCGTGAGCGGGGCAGGGTACGCGGCAACGAGGCGCAAAAGGGAGACGGCTCGCCCGAGCCGTTAGCGCGCGACCGGCCCGGTCCACCTGTCGCTGCCCACGCCGCGTCCACTTGGCGAGTCCCGGGCCACGTGCGCGGACGACGCCCGCGGCGCATCGGAAGCGCTGCCGGGACCACGTCGATGGCGACGGACCGTCGACGCTCCCGCGCGCCGCTCGCCTGCGCTCGATGCGCTTGCCGGAGGCGTCCGTATTAGGACCGCGCGAGGCGCTCCCCTCTCGCGTCTTCGTCGCGCGCGTAGTCCGGCCCCACCGAGCCGCGTGAGTCACGTTGCCGCGAGCCCGTGGAAATTCCCTCGGTGTGCGCCGGAAAATACGGAGCCGCGCGTACGAGGTACACGGCGAGGCTCCAACGCGGAACTAATGCGCAAAAGTACGTGCCGTCGAGCGCGAGCGAAGGAGACGTTTCGTCCGGCGCTTGGTTGGATTGCGCTGATATCGATGGGAACCGTATTGCACAGTGCGGGGATCCATTGAGAATACGAGATCGGTGGACTTGACCATTTTCGACAACTTGCAAAATCGATCGCGATTTGAATGTAAATCTTTGGCACTGTAGTTACAAGACGCAAAGTTCTGCCGAAAGAAAAAATAAGAAATAGAGCGACTCTGACGTGCAGCTCAACGATTATTTATCCGCGCGAAAGCCAAAGACCGCCGCGCCAAGGCCATCGCAAATCGTGAACAACGCAAATGGTCATAGGACAACGAGAGACGCTAAGGGTCGCTCGAGCTGTCCAGTGGGCGGAGATCAAGATTAGCAGGCACGTTTGGGCCACGAAGACGGACGCTCGGGTCCACTCTCGCTTCGCGGGGGAGATTCCCCCCCGCCGCTCCGAGACGACCCAACTGTCGCTACCTGGTGCGCGCGGACGCGAAAGTCGGTGGGACATCTTTTACGAAATCGGGTACTCGAGCACTCGCCGTGGAAGAGCGATCGACGGGCGGACAGAAGGCGCGCCACCAGCGAGAAACGTGTTTCGCTTTCCGAGACGGACTGCGAGCCGGGCCGCGCGGAATGCGCGCACGTTACTCGAGAAAAAGCGCTCAGGGGCCAAAACAAAGCCAACGCGAGTGCGAGAAACTTGCGGAGGGAGAACTGGTTTATTTCCGAGCGAGCGTTTTTCGCGCGGCATTTTGTAATGCAGCGAAACGTGCGCGCTTCCCTGCGATCGAGCCGTTTGGCGGCGCGTTAACGGCGCGCTGTCGCACCACCTCCCGCTCCCCCACCGCGGCTGCGGAGATCGCGAAAACAAACGACAAAGCGCGGCCGTCAACATTTGCGACTTTACCTTGAGAGTTGAGAGCCTCGATCTGGCGGCCGAGCGCCCGGAAAATGCTCCCTTCTCCCCCGTCTTTGTCCTTCCTTCCTTTCTCCTCGGCCGCCAACTCCTCCTCCTTGTCCTGCTGCTGCTCTACCTGCTTGATACCATCTACTATTCCATTTTTCCCTCGATCGCGGTAGCCACTACGAGCAGCCTTTTTGACCTGCTTCTCTCGGAATCGCTGCAGCGAAACCGAGAAAGGGCAGCAGGACCCTTTTCTAGGTTAGATTGTCATCGGTTGCGGGCCACTCGTGTGTTTACGAGCTGGGCCCCGTCCTTAGCTCTTTTTCCTTTGTTTACCTCGCTACGGAACCATAACCTTTTCCTTGATTTTTTAATTGTACAGACGGATTATTGGATCATCATCGCTAATTATCAAAATTTTTCGACGCACAAACTCATTGATTGGAACACCTGCGGCAAAGGGCTGCCGATTCAACAGTAATCTCCGATTGTAAGATCAACAACAACGTCTGCGCCAGTTACGATCCGTGGCGCGCGCGGAAGTCGCGTTGCTACGGTGATAGCAGCGTTCAACACAAAGCAACGCCATACAATTCTACTTGATCACTCACTAAAACCACACCGCGATCATCTTCTTGGCAACGGTTTTTCGTGATGCGAACGCGCGAGAAACGTACACGAAACCGCAAAACCTACGACTGCTACGTCACGACCGACCGACGAGCGAACGGCAACTGTTGTTTGATTTGCAGACTCGCAGCATAGGTAGCAATCTCGCTGCAAAACCGGTCGCGGTGCCAGGGAAAACGCAGCGCCACGACGGAGAAGCTTCGTACAAGTAAGGTTGGTAGGTCGGTAAAGCAGCCCAGGCATTTGACGCAACGATCCATACATATACATATTAACTGCGCGCGTTCGATAACTTTAAGGACTTTATTGGGATTTTCAGTGGAGGCACATGTAATCATCAACGCCAGCTTAATGTTTATTTTGATTTTATTGGCTTTTTATTATAAGAAACTTAATTTTATATATATATATATATATATATATATATATAAATATACATATATATACACACACATATATATATACACATATATATATATATATATAAAAGAATTTGTCTATTACTAGAAATATTTTGCTTTGTTTCTCTGTCTCCCATCTGTTCGGATAAAAATCTTATCTAGAACGAAATGTTTCTTTGACATATACGCATGCAGTAAAATTTCATTACGGCGCTGTCTTATTTGAGCATTGAAATGCGTGGAACAAACATATAGTAATGAGTAGTCCAGTAAAACGAAACTACATAATGCCGCTTGATCGCAATTCAAACAATCGAAAAACATATACAATTGATTCACAAAATACGTTTGAAAGTCGCAATAAACTAACGCTGGATGACTGTTGAGTACTAAATGCCATTCCCGATACTACGCATGTATATAAGCATAAAAAAACATGCTATCATACAAGCACTATTTACTCATTCTCTTTGTAACTTTCTCCCTTCTCTTCTTTCTCGACGATTACGCTTAAGTAAGTAAAATAATTTGCACTCGAAGACGCATTAGAGAAGAATTCTACCGTCGAACATGCGTTACAATTATTTGATCGACAAACTGCCGTACAAAACAGTATTTGCGCAACTTCGTCCTCTGTTTGCCATTTAAGCGAGCGCGTGCGTCAACAACTAAAAAAAAAAGAGCCATTATTTTACAGTTCTTTCAGTTGTGTGATATACTATCCTATGTGATTTTCGTGAAAAGCAGTAAGCTTGGAAGGATCAAAAAGGATACTATGTACAGGGTCAAATGGACAACTCAAGTCTGAACAAATCTACGTCTATTTACTCGTGTTTTTTTATTAATTTCCAACTGTTGATAACCTAACTGATAAATAATAAATTATTCCAATTATTGATTATTCTGACCGTAGTCATAGTCATATAATTATTATTGTCGTTATAACTATCAAGATGAAATTACAATAACTGCTCATCGCAAACTGAGTGAAGAAAGAAGTCGACGTAGACCGTAATAAAATGATTAATTGTAATATAAAAATAATAACTTAAACTTAATATCGTTCTCATAAATAATGGAAAGAGACGATAACAAACAGGAAACAAATGAGCCCGGAGACTACGCGAGGTTGCAAAAACAATTTTCTACTTATTTTTATCGAAATATTAACTTCGATTGGCAATATTATACGTAAAAAGCTCCTCCGACAGCCGTGTTTTGCCCAACATCAAAATTTCAATTACTAATGTATCGTTGCATTTTAATATCAAAAATATCATACAAATGTGTTGTAGTGAAAGAGATAGGAAAATGACAGTAGCAAAAGAAAATTGCAGTCTTCACTTGAAAGTGAATAATCCTTATGAAGTAAAAATCATATAATTTTATTACCGTAAGATTAAAATAACATTGACGAAAATTTAACTTCATTCATCTTTTTCTCTCGTATGGCGAATATACACACGCATATGCAGTGTGTTTTTGAAACGTATCATCTTATGAAGACATACTGTGCTGAACCAATGTATTAAATTGATGTTATATCGTTACAAACGGGCGAAATTGCGCAAGTTTAAAAATAACCAATGGCTCATGCGATTATACATTGTCTCGATAAAATGCGTGTTTTACTGAAAACTCTCATTCTGCTCTTCCCTCTTTTTGTGCGATTCATAACTACTTGTATGTACAATCGAGAGCATTCTATACCTTTTTGTATGTATCTTATCAATTGATTATTCAATTAATAATGCTATAAAAAATTGTCTCCCGTGAACCATTGGACCGCGCTTGATTTTCATTATCCTTTTTTTGTTTGATTTTACTTTTATTTTACAGTGCCTCGGGTATACGTTTGCTGGCCGTAATAGAAAGGAAAACAATAGCAAAATTTTCACAAACAAATGTAAATGCCATTTTGTTGCCCTGTTCTTAAGAAAGATAGTTGTTGAAGGATAATAAGTAAAGAAATGCTAAAGAAACGTCAGCTTCCATAGATAAAAGAAAACAAGAAATTAAGCACCTTGCTCATAAATTTTAACGTAATCCAAGTCGAGAAAACCTTCCTTTTCGGTTGTACGTTTCAATTTTCTAATGGAGTTGAGACATATATAATAGCATAGTTCTTCTCGAAGGCTGCGATCGCAAAATACATATATTGTATTTACAAAAATATACAATGAGCAAACTTACATCGTTATAAACTTACATTTCTTCTATTTCATATACTTATAAATCCTTTGCACATTGATTTAAAAAGAATCACTCGCAACGCATGTTCGTACTCGTTTCGCATTCTCATTTGCGCTCGAGTTAATTTTACTCATTATCTACTTGCTCCAACCTTTCATTCGAAGCTCCACGCAACATATCCGACGCTCTTCCTCGCTGAAGAACTTTATCTCGATAATCAATTTTAAACCGGTTTTTCAGTGGCCGATTTAATTGTAAAAATACACTTTCTGATAGCGGAGATTTCGGCTGCAGGTGGTACAAAAGCATCGAGAAAGGTTGATTTTGCGCGTTAAACTTTTATATGTAAACATTTTTACAAAAAATTTCGTTCGTACTCCTAAATTTATTTATTTTTTCATCGTGTAGTCATTGTATTCTCTCGTTTTTCCTAGTAAGACCACTACTTTCCCCGATATATATTTAATTAATGCAAATAACGTAATCATTCCCAGTTAATTTCCATTATTATTTCATTAAAAGAAATTGGGAGATAATCATCCGTTAACTTGCTTTTTAATTCTTTGTCTTGAGATATAGTGTACATACATTGTCTCTCATATCTGTCTATCTACAATCGTCATACAGTCACAATGCTGCCGTACAGTTTAGTAGCAAAGAGGAATAATTGGATTCTATTTTATTTTGCACAGTATAAACATTTTTCCTCGTACAACTGTCGACACATTGTAACGTAAGAGGCTCGCCTATATTGATTTTACATCTCCACATATCATTTTTTGCTTTTCTGTTATTTGCATAATAGTAATAATAGTAATAATAATAGTAATAATAATAATAATAATTCTTGTGTATATATAATATATATTTATTTATATATTCATATGTATATGTATATAGATTCTTTGTATACGTAATAAACTATATTCATCGTTCGCGATATTTCTTACATTTCGATCACTTAATGCTACGTAACGTACGTGCTTTTTTTTATCAGGTAACCTCCACGACTCTTCCTGTGGCACTTTCTTAGACGATCTCACTCGTGACACTTACTCTATATCATTGTCTTACTTTTCCAGTTCAATTCTTTTTATTATTTTTTTTTAAATCCCTGCAAACAATTTTATTATTCTACAATTGCGCGCGACTCTTCCACACAACTGCAGTACGCATTGAAAATAATAATCTAATTACGGTTGATGTGTTTTAACTGTATTATAGCATTAAAAGTAAAAAAAATCGTATACAATAATTTTAAAAATTACGAAATTCTGTAAGAGTGCCAGAGTAATATATTGAATTGAAAAAATTGAGTTTTAGTGAATACGATAAATTGGTTGTACAAGTTAGAACCAGAGTTAGTATCGTTTTTGATGAAAAAAAGGAGTAGCGTTCTATGCTTGTTCTTTGTTTGGCATAAAATCATAAGTACTTCTCAAAAGTAAATATCTTATCGCATTACAAAATTTGCAGTCTTTTTAAAAAAGATAAAAAATCTTTCCAACATGCTATACGGAAGACTTATTCCATCTTTACAAAATATACAACGCGTACCACGAAATTAAGGAAAGTTGATACCGGCAATGCATATCATTATTAACAAACCATCGTGTAATGGTTAATCTAATCACAACTTCATATCATAAAAACGATTACGATAAGATCGACCAAAAAAAGCAGAAAAAATAAAAATGTACAATAATCATAGTTCTAGTAGTGATAATTACGAACAAGTAAACAAAAAAAAAACATTATTTTTTTCTATCAATCAATTATCTATCTCAAAGTACCGACACAACAGAAATAAAGGATCCGTTTTTTTCTTTACAATTCTTAAGACAACTGTACCCTCAATGTAGTTAAAAAATTAATAATAATCAAAATAATAATAATCATAGTAATAGTGACAGACGCATCGGCAATTTCCTACGGGTGATCGTCATTTTCACGTTTCGGGATTGCATTCCTATCATCCTACTTTTCGGTCATCATTTCTCTCTATTACAAACGGTAGATGAAAAAAAAACAGTCATTTTTCATACAATTCACGTCCCGAGCAACAGCTGCTCCAGTCTTTCTAAAACAACGGAAAGAGAAGTGATCCCCGACTCTCTTTCACTCCTCATACAAATCTCTCTTTCTCTTTCCGTGTACTTTGCGAGAAGGCACACACTGCCCCGGTCTCGTTGTCTATACGTAAAGAGAGCCCGTGTCCTCGCTACGTATTTGCTTCTACGTGTACATGGTCGGATAGGAGACGACGCTATGAGGCAGGGAAGTAACATAGTTCGGCGTAGGCGGTCGCGGACTATGCCACCTGGGTCAGGTGCCACGGAGCTTCTTGATGCCGGCTTGTAGATAGCGGACCAGATCCATTACTGAGCTCCTTGGGCTGAGAGGACCTATAGTTTCGTCCAGTTCAATGAAGAAAGCTGAACGGTACAATATAATTAGTTCGATTGCTTGGTCATGGGGACATTCGACGACGGCGCGAAAGTCGAGCTATTGGGGCAAATAAACTTACGTCTATGCTTGTCGGAGACGAGAGCACAAGCCGTTTCCCACTTTTCCTGGACGTTCATCAACATGCCCAAGTCTGCGTGGTGCTTCTGCATGGTATTGAATACGGCGAGAGGTACGGAGACGTACGCGACTGCTGACGCTTGAGCTGGTTGGGCGCGACCAGCTACCTCGCGATTAGCCAGCTCGCGATTCGCATGCTCACGGTTCGCCAACTCGCCACTGCTATAACCGCTACTCTGGCTGCCGACCGAGCCTACCGAACCTGGCGACGGTGTCGGCGAAAGAGACGGCGTTGCGTGGCCTGCCTCCGGCTGCAATAGCGCTTTGTTATAGTAGTCTGCTAATAGAGCGTAATTGTCCTTGATCTCGCCTCTTCTCAGATTGAATAGCTTTTGCGTAATCAAAGATTGGCCCCATAAGCTGTGAGAAACATAATAAATTGTTATTCTCTATGCACTGACCACTTATTTTGCGTATTTCTGACGAATCAATATTTTCCATTATTACCATAAGATAATTAACTTGACGTTGGTACCATGCTCTACTGCATCATCCGCGTGTACTTTGAATTTATTTGTGATGAATCTGGAAGAAAGGTGATTACGATTGATATACTTGACAATACATGTGCCCAAAAAGTTTCTGAACAATTTAGTTAAGAGTAATTTCGAGCGAAAGCAACAGCAACTTACTTGATAAGAGACAGTGTTTCCTTGTACATCCTGTAAACGGCGCCCAAGGAGACAGGACTCGAGACGGACTCCATGGCCAGACCAGTGAGAAGGAAGTAACTAATGCCCTCGAGGTAAAGAAGAGCCTGCGTGACTAATTCATGTTCTTCATCTGCGCTATGTTTTAGTCTCTGAGCCTCTGACAAAAAATGGTCTTGGTAGCTGCAATTATAAAATAGGCAATTGAGTTTTATTCACTCGAAACTAGTCTTTTGTCAAAGTAAATTTGTAAAGAAAACGCACTGGTCCAAATCGTCTCCTGACTCGTGCTGATGGTAGAAGTAAGAGTAATAGCGTACTAGTGGATCTGGCTGGGCGAACATGGCTCGACCATCAGATCTTTCTTGCCGCTCATGGTTAGTCGGTTGAATATCACTTGGCTATAGAAAGGATAATTACTATTAAAATCTGCTTAACTCAAGCCACTTTGTCTATTAACAATGATAATATGTCAACTTGCTTGATGTCTTGACGAGCAGTCTTGTTGCTCATGGTGCTTCTTTCGGCGCTTCTTCTTGTCCTCCTTGGATTCGTTCTTCAGTTTAGAATCGACGGACGATACGGTGCTCAAGCTCGACTCGGAGCTGCAGCTTTGCTTGCGTTTTCTCCTGACTCCGCTGCAGGTCGTTGGTACTTCGCAGCTGCTCGCAGCAACGTTACCACTAGCACTGTCATTCGGATTTGCTTTAACTTCGCTTGATTTAGCGTCCACGCTTTCGCCACTTTTTATCGCACGATTTCCACTGCCACCACCTCTTCTTGCCTTGACGTGACTTGGACCCGAGTCGCTATCCTCCGCCGCTCCCGTGTGCCGACTGCTGCTGCCACTGTGTGTCTCGACAATTTCGCCCTCCTCGGGCGTCGAAGACCTCTGTGACTGATTGCGCGAGCGATTCCTGCAATACGCAGAAGGAAAGGAATCGTCAATCCGGTTGAAATTTTAAGAAAATAAACTAAAAAAGAGAAAGAGAGAAAAGACAACAAAGAACCTACCTAGAAGACGGCCTGGTGTCTGGAATTTCAGTTCGCTGCCTGATTTCCTGGCCCCTTGGGTGTTGCGGTACACGAATTCCCGAGTTCAGTTCGATCTTGCACATGATGCGAGGCACGCCGTTAACGTAAGTGATCGGCGGAATGCTGACTCTCTTTTCGTCGTGGCGCTCGATCGCGACGGGCCGTTCCGCCGCTGGAATGACGGACGAGGGACGTTTGTACGGGCTTTCGCTGCCAGTGGGCGTGTTGGACTGATATTCCTCCACGTAAATGCCGCACTTGCCACCACCCTTGCCGCCCTTGCCACCCTTACCACCCTTGCCGCTCTTCGCGACGAACAATCGCCGGAGCGCGCTTTTCTTGTTGTTGCCCGATACGTCGAGCAATTTCGCCGACGCCGGACTGTTATCACTATCCGAGTTGTCGGGCGAGGTTGTGCGCGTCGGTGGCACTCGCGGCCTCGGCTGAACTCGAGCCACCTAAAAGCAAAGAGATTAATTTTAAAAACAAGAGAAGAAACCCTGCTTCAAATTCATTATTGGCGATTTCTCGCCAAATCAAGGCAAAAATAGTACGAGACTTTCTCTGTAGCACACTGTTTCATATAAGTCCGTCTTTGACCAAGGTTTAACCACTCTGGAGATAGATATCAGCATAGATAAGAAACTATAAAGGCAGATACGGTACCTCAGCCGCCAATGGCGCAAGCGTCGATGGTATATGTTCTGGGCAGTAACACTGAAACAAGGAAAAGCGTTCGGAGATTGCTTTTACCTTGCGGTTCGTTCTGGGGGTCACTTCAGACTCGCTGTCCGACTCGCTCGGACACTCCGGGGCACTGGATACCCTCGACCTCTGCCGCCTGGGCTTCGGCGGGCTTTTCTTCTTGTCCTGCTTTTTGGGAGAATCGAGTTTGCGACTGCGCTTGATGGAGGAGAACCTGCTACTGTTCCAATGAGGATCGACCTCGTGCGAGCGCTTGCTCCTAGCGTGCTCCAAGTGGTCGACGTTGGCGTGGTCGTCCTCCTCCTCTTCGTCGTCGTCGTCGTCGTCGTCGCTGCTTGACAAGCTTTGTCTGGAAGTGCGATGTCGCTTGTCAGTAGCAACCACGGGCGAGGCGGCGGGGGCACGCCGCGCGGTGGTGAGCGGCGCCGGGAGCGCCGGCGCCGCCGCGGGCTCCGAGTCGGAGTCACTGAAGTCGTCCTCGTCACTGGACAGCACGGGCTTGGAGATGGGCTGCTTCTTGGGGCGCGCGCCGGCGCCGGTACGCTGCCGGGATCGCGGCTTGGTTGGTGCCTTGGGCTCTTGCGGCAGCGGGTCCGCCGCGGCCAGGAGCGCCGGCTGCGCGACCTTGTCGGGCTTGTCTGTCTTTCGCGGACGACCGCGTTTGCGCACGTCCGGTGCCTTGGGCTTGTCCTGTTGGGTCTGCGTCCTGGGCGGCAAGCCTTTGCCGACCGCGCCGCCGAGCGGCTTGTCTACGTCGCTCTGCTGCGAGCTGTCGCTGGGCGAGCTGAGCACGGCGCTGCTGGCGCCACGGCTGCGCTTGGGCTGGTTGTCGAGCTCCCAGTCGCGGTGCCTGGAGGAGCGACGCTCGGGCTGCAGAGCGCCGGGCTCCCTGCGCAGCTCCTCCTTACCGGTCTTGGTCTCCTTGCCGGCGCCGGCTATGGCGTTCGACAACGAGCCGCTGCTGCTCTCGGGCTTCTCGGGCTTGGTGAGGAACGAGCTGAGGTTCCAGCGCGGCTTGGACTCTTCGACGGCCGGCGGTGGTGGCTCCTCGGGCGCCTCGCGCGGCGACACCGAGGGCGGCGTGCTCGGGCCCTTGGCGTGTGGACCCGGCTGGCTGCCGCTCGGGGCCTCGTCCTCGGAGTCGTCACTGCTGTCGGAGCACGAGTCCGACCCCGAGTCCGACGAGGAAGAGGCACTGCCGGAGCTCGCCGGCCCGTCTCCCGGCGGACTCGGCGGTCTTTGGTTGGTTGGGGCTTTGGCGGCCGGCTGCTGCATCTGTAGCTGCTGATGCTGTTGCTGTGTCTGGAGCTGTTGCTGCTGATGCTGTTGTGTTTGTAGCTGCTGCTGCTGCTGCTGCTGCTGCATCTGTAGCTGCTGATGCTGTTGCTGTGTCTGGAGCTGTTGCTGCTGCTGCTGTAGCTGCTGCTGCTGCTGCTGCTGCTGTTGCAGACTCTGGGTCTGAGTCTGCGCCAACGGCGGTTGCTGCTGGGCCTGCACCGTTGGTGGTGGTCGCATTTGCGACTGCGGCTGCGGCCTGGAGACGGTCTGGCCCGTCGACGACATGCCTAGCGGCGACATTGCCGCTACGGGCGGATGGCCCGGTATCGTCGGAATCAGCGGCGTCGGATTGCTGGAAAACCAAGAGCATCCGTCCGATTAAGTAACGTAGCGGCCGGGTAGGCGATTATAGCGAGCGCAGGCGGGTTCGGCCGGCACTAATTATATTCCGCCTACAATATGCGCGAGCTTCGGGAGGGAGATTACGCAGTCGGTGCGGTCCTGGCTGTACGTAACGCCGACTGACGAAACAAGCCCTGGCTTTGTGCAACTGACTGCTCGCCAACACGGCCACCGTGGCGGCCCCGCTTTGTCGCGAACGTTACGATCGTCCCGCGCGGGAAACGCTTTGCAGGCGATACTCACTTGATTGCCGGACTCCTTCCATCCCTCACAGGCCTGTTGGTGGGCTGCTCGGCGGCCTTGGGAGCTTCCTCCTCGTCGCTACTTTCGGACAAGCTCAGGTCGCGCTCCAAATCCCTGCGAAGCACAACGAAGACCCGATCGGTTAGTCAGAGCTACGGCAGTCGGTCGAGTCGGGTGGGGGAGGAGGCAAGAGGGCTCGGATCGCGCGCAGTTATCGGGCCGCGAGGATCGAGCGGCACGCGGCGCGCACGTAATCGCGAGGGCGAAAGTCCCGGCGGTGCGCGCGAGCGAGAAAGAGAGAGGGAGAGGCCGGCCGGAGGAGCAGGTAGGCAGACGGCGCGAGGAGCTTTCCGCCGCGCTCTTCGCGTCGCAGAAGACAACGGAATAGCAGTACACGCAGACACGGCGAGCGCCCGAGCGTCGTGGTCGCAGTCGGCGCGGGACATCGACCTCTAGCCTGGCGCGGGCGACCGAGAGAGCGGCACCTGGCCGGCGCTGCGGCCGCGGCCGCTCATAACTATATCAAGTGCGCGGCTCTCTACAATCGAGTCCGAACGCTGCTCTGCGCGCGACCGCGGCCTCGTGAGCCTTCTCTGGCGCGCGGCGTTTTTATCTCCGCGAGGAGGTTACCTCTCTGGTCTGCCGCGCGGCAATCGATAGCGCGGCTGTGCGCGCGCGCCTCTCTTTGTTGTTCTCAGACCGAGCCGCATCCAACAGCACTTGCAAACCCGCGCGATCCTTTCTCTCTCTCTCTCTCTCTCTCTCTCTCTCTCTCTCTCTCTCTCTCTCTCTCTCTCTCTCTCTCTCTCTCTCACTCTTTAAATGCAGCTTTTGTTCGCTGCGAGAGACAGCCGGCAGTCATTCGCGGCGGCAACCATTTGGAAGTCAAAAAAGACGAGTCGGGAGGGAGAGAGAACGGCTGCGAATAAAAGCTGCGTTAAAATGCATGGCCAACCTGTTGAGGAAAGGGCCTGTAGAAATCAGTAAAAATCCGCGAGCGGAGCGCCGATGGAGAGGCGTAGGTCGGGCCTGGAATTAGCGCCCGCGGCCAGGCAGCCGAGGCGAGCGCGGCCCGCTGGTAAATCCGGTCTAATCGCGATGAAAGGCATTCGATTCAGTTGGCCCGCGAGCCGACGCGGCGCGTGGCCGCTGTCTCGATTAAAGGGCACGCTTGACTTTCCCCCGGCGACTCCGAACGCGCTGACTAGCGTCATTAGCGGGCCGACGCGCGAGGCGCGTATCGCGCTTGGATCGGGCTTGCTGGACGGTTCGACGACGGGATTCGAGAGAGTCGATAGCAATTTGGAGCCCGGCTATTTCGGTTGGATGCAATCTCGAGCAGCGCACACGCGCCCGCGACTCGATGGGCGCTAGGAGAAAATGAAAATCGATCGGCGAGGGCTTGCAAAACCAGACGTCTCTGCTCTCTTTCGCGTCCGATACGCCAGAGCCAGAGCCAGCAGCGTCGAAAGGAAGCAAACAGAAGTGAGTCGCTGTCGTTGTCGCTGGGCGATCGATGAATCTCAGCCCTCCGCGGCTCGGCCGAGCGTCGCGCGACTGGGTCACCGCCGCTGCGGGGCCTCGAACGAGCCTCGTCGGAACGGCAGAAGGACGAGCGCGAACACGTCGGCCGCAGCGCCGATTGGCGCCGATTATTATTAGCGCGCGGCTGACAAAAAAAGTCGCGCAGACAAAGCAGGCTAAAACCGGCAATCGATAAGAGCGCTCGCTAACCGCACACCAGACGTTTCCATGCGGAAAACTCGCTCCCCCTTCCCTTCTCTCTCTCTCTCTCTCTCTCTCTCTCTCTCTCTCTCTCTCTCTCTCTCTCTCTCTCTCTTTCTCTCTCTCTCTGTACGTAACGCGCGACATCTGAGGCTATCCTTTATTTTGCTGGCGAGCTTTTTTCTACCAGCTCGTCGAGTCTGCTTTTCCTTTTTCTTTTTCAGCGGGCCTCCTTTATCTCTGTTGCGGCTTGCGCAGCCTCGCTTTTATTTGTTTTCAGTCGGCGGGCTTTATCCGCGGTGCGCGCTTCATTTTCAGATAAATCCGGCGGACGCGGGCGGCGGCGAGGGGAGCGGGGGAGGGCTCTCGGGAAATTCGGAAATAGGCGCGCTCGGCCGGATGTAATCGTCGACGTCGCGCTTCGCTATTCATAGAAGATGCAGACCGGCGAGCCTCGTTCGGCCAGAAAATCGGCCTCCAGATAAACGAATCGCGATTGCCGGTTGTCAAACGACGCGACGCTAGCCGCGGCGTTCAGCTGGCACGGGCCTGGACGGAGACCCGTGTGGCGCGCGTGCGACCGATAATCCACGGCCCTCTCTTTCTCCGCTCGTTCGCAACGACGCTCGGGCATTCGCGTTCTTCGGGGCGAGCACATTCTTATTGATTGTCGATAGTCCGGCAACGAGGACTAATGAAAACGTCGGTAGACGGATCGGTGAATGACGCTGCAATAGCTGTTGTGGTACTTACGCAGACAGCCGGTGGCCCGCGTGCCTGTCACGCTCTGAAACAAAGAAGTAAATGGCGATTAGTTGATTAGTCAAGAGCGGCGTCGTGAAGTTTGGAGTGGGGGGGGGGGGGGCCGCAAATTAGAATAGACTCGTTAGCCGATGCGCGGCGCCGATTAACGGAGAAAGCAGCGCGCGGCACGCGCGACTAACGAGCGAGCGAGCGCAGAGCGCGAGAAGCGAGAAAGAGCGGGGCCAATCAAAGCCGAGGCTTGGATTTTCGCCCTCGTCGCCCGCCCGCATCGATCCGCTCACCGTGCCTACGCTCGGACTCGCACGCACACACGCAGCCCCCTTTGGGCTGCCGACGCCGCCGCCTGCTTGTATCTAAGCCAGTACCATCGATCCGGCGCCTCGCACGAGCTCTTTAATCATTAGCACCACCTCCGATATTGCGCTCGATAATTGTCGCTGCTGCGGGCAGCTCCGCGCTCTCGTCGAATTTGTTTGCGCTCGTTCGCCGCGACTCCTCGGCGTCGTCGTCGTCGGTGGCGGCAAATCTTCTCCAAAACGAAATTCGACGCCGGGAGTGTTTGTACGTGCAGCTGCTGCCTAGTATCGAGCATGCAAATAACGCGCGAGGACGAGCAGTCACGACATACAAGCGCGAGCAGTCGGATCGATAACTCATTAAAAACTCGACTCTTTCTTTCCCTCCGCCGTTCTCCCTCCCTCTCTCTCTCGCTCTCGACGGTGCTATCGCTTGCCATTGTCTTACACCAGGCATAACCATTCAATTCCATCGCATTATGCTAATCCCGCCACCGGCTTTCCTCCGCTGAATTGTTTAAATGCGCGTGCATATGGCGTGAAGCCTGCATTGATCGATCGATGAATCGTTCGGGCTTTTTCCCACTTGTTAATCGAGTCGACTGAGCTGTGCGACCAGGACGCGCTCGCTAAAGAGCTCCCGATAGGAGCCAAGCCGAGTTTTGGCGCGATCGATGAAAAGCGAAAGAATAGCACCGCTCGGCGCACTTGCAGCTGCCGCGTGGAATTAGCCGCGGCGAGAGGGGGAATATGTACGATGGGCTGCCCCCCCTCCCCACCCGGTCCTACGCGCACGAAAGATCCGTCGCATGTATGCTGGCGCATGGCGGAAAGTACGAATGGGAAGGAGAGCGAGATGCACACACGGGCGACGAGGAGCGAGCTCGCGGCGGAAGTCGACACGGAGATAGAGAGGACTCGCGGTAGCCGAACGCGCAGAGCCGGATGGCAGCGAATCGAGATGGATCGGGGAGGAAGGCGACCGACTACGAGAGCCGAGAGAGCAAGGGCGCGTCGAGCGGAGTGAAGGGGTTGCCGTGCGACCTCTCTCGCGCGGACAATGGAGCGGACCGGCCCGCGGTCGGGCAACTACTCGGAGCGTGCGCGCAGGCCGGCAAGTAGGCAAGCACTCGGGCGCCGAGTAACGAACGGTCGACAGAAAAATAGGCTGCCGGATAGAGATGGAGAGACAGCGGCCGCTGCGGAATTACCCCCCCCCCCCCCCCCCCAACTCGGCGCGAATTTATTAGCGCGCGAGGCTGACCAACTTCGCTCCTTTCGCGAGTTTCGGGCGTGGAAATGAAAACAATTGCTCGCGGGTCGGCTCCGGGCGGAAAGCGAGAGGCCGGGCAGCGCGGCGGAAGGACGAGACAAGCCGGAAACAGTACTTTTTGCCGGATGGACGCGGCTAGCCGAGCGTGAAAAGGTGCGTGATCGCGTACTTTCGAACGGAGCGCGACCTTATTTTCAATCCAGACGGCAGCTCCTCCCCACCGCGCGATCGCCTTTGTTGCAACGACCGCGCTTGCGCTTTCGTTCTCGGCTAGCGAGATAGGACCAGAAATAAAAGAATATAAATAAATAACGAGGAGCACGCACAAAGTGCGGTGGCGAGCGGTCGAATTGGCAGTTGGTGCGCTTATCGCGCGGGCGCGTCTGCGCCCAGCCGCGGCAGATAGGCCTCGAGAGAGCGGAAAGTTTAAGAAAGAGACCAGGCGCGCTGCGGTGGAGGCGACAGCTGCGCTGCCAACGGAACTCAAGATGCGAGCGCGGCGAAGGCTACGTAGAGGCGGCGGGCCGATGGCGAGTCGCTGGCAGTTAAGGGGACTCGGAAAGAAGGGGAGAGGCGCGAGCGCGAGGGAAGCGTGAGAGCGAGCCGCAACAAATCGGGTCTACGGAGAGGCGCACGCAGAGCTAGAACTCGCCAAATAGGCGCGCGGTACGCCGCCAAACGAGCTCCACTTTCTCGACTCGTCACTTCCTTCCGTTCTCGCTTGGTCGTCCCGGATCCTTCGTCAGCCGGCCGCGCTGGGGGAAGCCCGAGTAGCGCGATCGCCGGGGCAGTCGCGAGGGCGAAGCACGCGGAGCCGCCGATCCGACGCAACTGCGAATCGCGCGAACCAGAAGCCGGAGCAACGACGAGCCGGCGGCCAATGGGGGACGGGCGGTGCACACCTGACACTGGGCGGTAGCCGCTGCCGGCCGAGCTCGAGCACTGCATCACGGGCACGGACACTGGGGCACGAGCACGTGGCCGCGCGGGAGGCGGCGCTGACCGGACGACGAGCGAGCTGCGTGCGAACGCGCTGCGCTCGCTGCCGAGCGACTGCCGGCCGTGTCGCCGGTCGCGCAGCCGGCCCTTCTTGGCGCGCGCGCGCACGGGCGCACGCACGCACGGCGCGCGAGCGGAGCGCCAACTGTCTGCGCGGCGGGCTGCCGGGCCGGGCGCGCGGAGTGGGAGACGGACCCTTCGCCGCGGTGCTGCGCGCCTCACCTGCCGCCTCGAACGACGCGCGCGTGCCCGCGCGGCACGTCCGCGGCGGGCCCGGAAATCGCAGCTCCGGCGGGCACGAGCGCCGCCTCGGCGGCTCTCGACGCTCCGGCGTTGTCTCGCGCGCCGCTGACATAATCGACTATTGATCGCCGGCGAATCGCGCTGGTTTGCAGGCCGCGCCATAGATGGCGCGAGCTGTTCCGCGCGCCCGACGGGCGGACGGGCGGCTCGGCGCGATCGGCAGCCCCGGCGACGAGGACGACGAGGGCGACCGCGGCGGGCGCAGGAGCGAAGCGCCCGGCCGAGCGGGAAAATCCTTTCACTGCCTGCGCGCGAATCTGGGACGGCGCCAGTCGGCCAGCCAGCTAGCTACTGGCTTTCTCTCGCGCGGCCCGCGAGATATCTCCAGCAACCGAGCGAAACCCAGCGACTCGCCAGCTCCCCGATCGCCGCGCGACCCGTCCGCCCGAGCTTGCGCGCGACCGGCGGCGGCGGCCTCGAGTTCGGGACTGCGCGCCGTCCACAATGGCTTACGTAAAGCTGTGACCGCTGCCACGGCGACGACGACATTGCGTCAGCTGCTCGCATAGCTGCGCTAACTGGCTCGTGGCTGTTGCGCAATCGACTGACTGGCGCGCGCGTCGTTCCGCTTCAATGGCAGAAAGCTCGCGCGCGCGCGCGCGCCTGGAAGGGCTTGGGCCCCGCGGCCCCAACGACGAGATCCTCGATCGTGCGCTCGCGCCTCGCTCGAGTCGGTGTAGGCACGATTGCACGAGCGCCGGCCATCCGCGGTCGCGCTGCCTCGGAAAGCCCTCTTAACGGTATACAGGCGCGCTCTTGCGCTCGACGCTCGATGCTTTAACCGTTAGGCCGCGCGCGCGCGCTACCTGGCTCTCTCGCAGTTCTCATCGTTACCCAGCTCCGCAGGCCGCTGCGCTCGACTGTCTTGCGTTTCCAGCGACTCGCGGCGTCCCTCGACGGCTGCCGGCCGCGCGAGCTACGAAAAAGCACAAAGCTGCACCGACCCCGTTTCCACGGAGCGCGCGGCCGCGCCAATTAGAGGCCCGCGAGCCCGATCGCTCTCGCGGTCTCCAGTGACAAAGTGTCTAGGCGGCCGCCCACTGTCGCGCGTGCGTTTCGGCCGTCCAACGCCCATGCGCCGCGCCGCCGCCTCGTTCGCGAACAAAGAGAGTGCGTATCCCAATTGACCGGCCGCGACTCGACGGCCGACCTTAATTGGCCGTCGCGCAAGGCCAGCCCGCCGGACGCGGGCTCACTGGTCGCGGAAGTCCGGAAAAGCTGGGCGGAAGACGCGTCCAGCGACGTGGCTTCGTTTCGCGCGCGCGCGCGCGCGATCGGCAAGCGAATCGCGGAGTCTAATCTGTGCGCCGCGTCGAGGCAATCGGTTTACCGTTCACTTTCGTCCTTGGCAGCAGTATTAGCAGTCAGTTTGTCAGTCGGTCTGCTCGTCTGTCCGCCTCGCCAGCGCTGCGCTCTCCGCGGCCCGCGCCGCGGCGAAGCTCTCTCCCGGCGTCGTTTTTTCAGCGAATCGCCTCCCCGTAGGCCGCCGACTGCTCTCCGCGCGCACGACGGCGAGCGTTGCGCAATCGGCGGCTGGCTCGCTGCGTGCCGCGTACGCGCGCTGCAATTACGCGCTCGCTCGTCGACGCTAATCGTTCCGTCATTTTCGACGCGCTCGCGGCGCGGCTCGGCGCAATCGAACGAAAATTGACGCGGCGCGGCGCCGTTAATTAAGCGTCGCCGGCGACGATTGCAACAGGGCCGCGAGGGCGGGCCGGGCGGGCAAAGGGAGGATCGCTGTCTGCGGCTGGCGAAAGCAGCGACAGGCAGGCAGGTGGCGCGAGGAGCCCGCTGAAAATTACAAGCCCGCGGGGAAAACAATCGGGAGAGCCGAGCCGTGCCGAGCCGAGCCGAGAATCAGCGCCGGCGGCGACGGAAAGAAAAAAAAACAAAGAGAAAAAGAGGATAGCGTTGAGCGAGCGCGAAACGCAAAGGCGCTCTTTCGGGTAAAATAGGCTCGTCGTCGTCGCCGTCGTATCCGCGCGATTCGGCGTGTATATCTGCTCGCGCGAGCTTGGCGGCTTCTGCTTCTGGGATTGGATGACGTGATACGCCGAGGCGCGGTGCAGTTGGCTGCTGGACGGTTCCCATGGTAACCTGCGCGCTGCCAGCGTTCCTCTCTCGCCTCTTTCTCGCCGCTCGCGCGCGCGCGCTTCGGAATGACGACGAGAGGGACGCACGGACGGGCCGACACAGAGACAGCCGAGCGACGAGTCGCGAAACTAGCTGAATTAATCGACGCCGTAACGGGGGCTCGACGCGGAAAAATAATCGAACGGCGATCGAACGGCGATCGAACGGAGCGCGACGACGCTCGCTCGAGGCAGCGGAGCAGCGAGCGCCCGAACGAACAGAAATACTTGGCGGCGAAGGCGTCGTCGGGAAGTAGAAGCGCGCGGCGGAAAGCCGAGATTCCCTTTCAGCTCTCTCTCTCTCTCTCTCTCTCTCGGCCAGCGAAGAAACGAAGGGGAGCAAGGCGAGAGAGCGTGGAAATTGAGATAAGACATACATCTCTAAAGGACGACTCGAATGGAGGCTACGAGCTAGTGGGCCTCGAGGAAGGCAGAAAGAATAGAGTCGAGTACGTCGGTTTGCTCGCGCGGAGGGAGCGACGTCTATGTGTACGTGAGCGCGCGCCGAGACAAAGCCAGTGAAACTCTACTCGCAATAATCGGAGAGCGCGACGAATGGATATTGCGGTCGATCGAGCACTGCCAGTGTTTTCAGCCTCATCACCCGCCAAACTTTGTCGCCAACGTGAAAATACTAAGCAGCTAATGCGGACGCGGACCGCGGCTAACAGAAGGGGCTTATCGTAGCGAACGAATCGCAGCAGCAGCTAGTGGCAGCTAGTCGAAAGAAGCCATTTATCAGCGAGCGAAGGTGTGCGGGGTACGCGCGCGTGTGTGTGGCGCGCGCGGGAGAAAAAGAAAACAAAGAGCGCATAAGTTGAGAGAGCGGAGCCGAGCTCGCAGAGAATAAAAAAGAAACGTCAACGAGTCGAGTCAAGTCGGCAGCTATATCCACCTTGCACGCGCTTGCTTGGCCTTCCGCTGTTGCTGCCGCTGCTCGCGGAGTAGGAGAAGAAAAGTGGAGGAGGCTACAGCCGAGCGAAGAGCCAGCAAGAGGAGGAAGGCTACTCGCGCGCACGCGCGCGTGTGTGCCTCTGGTGGCAGGCGCTACGCGGCTACCGTCCGTAGCGGCGAGGGGGCGCGGGCAGCGAGCGATTTATTGTCTATTTATTAGCGCTTATCTCGACGCGAAGCCGAGCATCGATGGGAATTACCGGATGACGGAACGCCTCCCCGGCTCCTCTCCGCTCCGTTCCCGCTCGACTCGCGACTGGCGCGGAATGCGTTTGCCCCCGCGAGACTGCACTTGTCGGCGACGAGGCCGCTGGCGATCGCGCGGCAGCCGCCGGATTGGCAGAATGCGCGCGGAGAAATCGGTCTAAGCCGCTGCGGCTGCTGCGAGAGAGCGAGAGATACGCAAAAGTGGGTCACGGAAGCGAGCGAAGCAGGCGCACGCCGACGACCCAAATAACTCGCCGCTGTAGCGCGTTGCGGGGATGCTGGCGCGGCGAGGTGCTGCGAGCGATGTCCAGCCGCGCTTAGCATCTTCGGACCGCGGCGATGACTCGAGCGGCGTGGGGCGCGCTGCGGCCGATGCAGCCGTGCACAAGGCAGCTCGTCGCCGGCAGGGAAACTTCGCGGAGCGGAGGGAGGCGAGTTCCAGTCGGGCGAGGGCAAACGAAAAGAGGAAGCGAGGCAGGAGAGACGCGTTGCAAAAGAATCAGCACGGAGTATCTCGCTCTGCGCACGCGGCAGAGGGAAGCGCAGCCACGCCGGGCGCTTTGACGGGGCACTCCGCGCGCCGCTAAGAGGGTGGAAAAGCCAGTGCAAGCAGAAAGCCTCTGCGCGCGCGCCCTCCAATTATTTGGCTTTCCGCCGCGACGCTGCACCTCTGCACGTCGCTCGTTTTTTCGCGATTATTTTTTCGTCTCTTTGAAAGCTCGCGGTCGCGGCTGCTCGTCGCGGCTGCTCGTCGCGGCTGCTCGTCGCGGCTCGAGTGATTGGCCAAACGGGTATACAGAGATGCTGCTGTACTTACGAGGCCTGGTCGTGTCCTGGGGCTGCGCATCGGTGAGCTGCAACAAGAACAAACGGCCGCATCAAAGCATTGCTCGGTGACGGGATGCGCGTCTCCGCGCGTTCGATACATACCTTGGCGAGGACGGGGTTGAAGCTGAACTTGGAGTCGTATTCCTTGCGAGGAGTTTGGGTTATGCACGTGAGCGGCGACGGCGGCATGGTCATTTCCTGCAACAACGAAAGCGAACGATCAATGCACGAGACTGGCAAGGCCTTGCGGCGTCTCTGACGATTCCGTTAGCTTCGACAACAGCGAGCGATTATGCGCAGTCGACGCTGCAATCGGCCACAACTGGCCAGCCACACGGGCGCCCCAGTAAGGGAAAGTTACCGTCTTGCCTCTCGCCGACGATGCTTATCGATTCGTGTAAAGCCAGCGCGAGGCAATTCGCTATGCTGACTTGTCAAGAAAGTTTATCGCTCGGAGACAGAGTCGCTAACGACGGCTCTTCATTTAAGTCCCGATGAGAACTCGGAGGTGTCGTTCGGCCATCGGTGGCGAAGTAGGCGGCGCCATTGACACGAAAATAAAACGCGCGCGAGAGAGAGAGAGAGAGAGAGAGAGAGAGAGAGACAGAGAGTGGAGTGGGTCAATGGTAGAGGGCTACTCGGTACCGAAACCGAAATCCCAACCTAAAATCGAATAGAGTGGACCTGTCCCGACGCCGGAAGTGCAAGCGAGCCGGGCTCGAATTAGCCGAAGTGGCGTTCGAAAAGGCTCGAAGTTACTTGCTCTCGTCAGCCGAGAACCGCGACCGAAGCGGACTTTCACTCTCGCGCTCTTACGTAAAGGCTAGTGGGCGGCTGAAAAGCGCCGCGCCGCGGATTGGCCGGTGGCGCGGGGCGCGCTTCCCGTGCGCCACGAGGAAAAGCCCGCAAGAATGTCAAGTGCACGCCGATCGCTCGACGGCGAAACGGCGCGCGTGGACCGACGCTGTAAGATTGCGCGCCGGCCGGCAGCGGGACATTAAAAAGCTAGCGCCGGTGCGCGACTGCAGGCGCCTTCTCCGGTGCACGTACGCGGGCGCTCCGCGTATCGGTCGTGATTCGTCGATTGCGCAACGAACAATGACCGAAAGAGCTGGATAAATTGCAAAGGCCGACGACGGCGTACAGCCGAAGCTGCTGCTGCTGCTGTTGCTGCAGCCAACGGCGGCCAAGAGAAAGCGCCGCGGACGAGTACCACGCGCCTTCTTTTCCTTTTTCTCTCTGAGTCCCCCACCGATGCAAAAATCACTTTCTCTCGGGAATGCGCTATCAATTGAACGCTTTCATTTGATCGGTTTAATTTCGAAACATCAGCGCGCCGGGTGGAATTGGATATACTCTGTCGCGCGGAGCAGAGATACATCCATTGTACTCGTCGAGGGGATGGGGAGGGGGACTCGCTGCAAAAAGTGTCAAAATAAAGAGACGGCGAAATCGAGCAAAATGCTCGCCGCTTGGGTATACACGGAGCCAGCGACCAACGAGGCGGAGGAGGCGGAGAATGAAAAAACGAGCGATAAGGAAAGGCAGCGCGGAGAATACAGCGCGAGGAAAAGAAGCCCCAGCTGATTTATGTACTATACAGCGGCGATCCATTAAAGGAATTAAATATTTCTGCCGAGGACTCGAGTTCGGCCCCTCTTTTCATTTTTCGCGACGATCGTTTGTTTTTTTCTTATTTTTGCCCCGTCTCGTCGCGGCCAGCTCGCAGCTCATTTCCAATCGAAGATTTGTTGCGCCAGCGTGCGCTAATTGCGCTCGTTACAAGCTCGCCCCAACAACACAGCTGCTACGAAGGCAGGAGAGCGCGAGGGGTCATCGAACTGCAGCTATATTTATCAGAACGCGGGCAAGCTTTCTTTGTTGGTTTCCGCGACGAGGAGAGCGAGAGAGCGAGTTGGCGAGCGCGGGATTTCGTCGAGTCGATTGGGAGGTTAATTATCGCCGATGACGAGTGACAGAAAGACCGTGGCGCTGATCAAATCGACGCTGGCCGGTGCAGGTACGGCAGGACACGGAAAACGTGGCGCGACGGCGAAGGAAGACGG